ATAATTACAACTCTCATAAAATGTGATGTAAGAGTCCGATTGTCTTCAGATTTTACACATCCCAATAATTATATTAACCCAAGGTCTGGTGTTAAGATGGACAATTATCGGTCCACTACTTCTGGTACCTCCCCCATAAACGCTCAAAATTTTGAATATCTATGAAGCTCATAAAACGCGAAATTAACATGCGATTCCATTCAGACTTGGTACATCTCAATATTGTCAACAACACAAGATCTTTTATAAATATGGTAGAGATCGGACCATTCATTTTGCTACTTCCCCCCCAAAGGGGTCAAAGTTTTGAATAACCAAAACGATCATAAAATCCGAAATAAGCATCCGGTTCTCTTCAAATTACATACATCACAATATTTCTATTAACCCGAGGTCTGGTGTGAAGATGGAATATATTGGTGTACTCCTCCAGGTACCTCCCCCACAAAGAGTCAAAGTTCATAAAACACGAAATTAACATCCGATTACATTCAGACTTGGCACATCTCAATATTTCCAACAACACAAAATCGGTTATAAGGATGGTAGAGATCGGACCATTGCTTCTGGTACCCCCCCCCCCCCCCCCCCACAAAGGGTTAACATTTTGAATAACCAAAACAATCATAAAATACGAAATAAGGATCCGATTCTCTTCTAATTACATACATCGCAATATTTCTATTAACCCAAGGTCTGGTGTGAAAATGGAATATATTGGTCTACTCCTTCAGGTACCTCCCTCACAAAGCATCAAAATTTTGAATTTCGACGAAGCTCATAAAACACGAAATTAACATAAAATTCCATTCAGGGATGGTAGAAATCGGACTATTCATTCTGCTATTCCCCCCATAATGGGTCAAAATTTTGAATGGACACAACGATCATAAAATCCGAAATAATCATCTGGTTCTCTGCAATTTTCGCACGTGCCATAATTTCTATTAACCCCAGATCTGGTGTGAAGATGGAATTTATCGGTCTACTCTTTCAGGTACCTCCCACACAAAGGATCAAAGTTTTGAATATTCATGAAGCTGATAAAACACAAAATTAACACCCGATTCTGTTCAGGATTGGCACATCTCAATATTTCCATCAACACAAGATCTTTTATAAATCTGGTAAAGATCGATCCACTCCTTCTGGTACTTCCCCCCCCCCCCCCCCCCCAAAGTGTTCAAAAGTTTGAAAAACAAAACGCTCATAAAACGCAAAATAAGCATCCAACTCTCTTCAAATTTAACACACCCAAACATTTTTGCTTACGCAAAATCTGTTGCGAAAATGATAGACATCTGCCAAACCCTTCTGGTACTTATATCTGTCATAACTTGCGAAACAAGTCGGCGATTCTATGCAACTTGCTATATTTGACTATTTTCCTTAGCCAGAAGTCTGATACGAATATGTAATTTATCGGAATTTATGATTTCGTATAAAATTGGATACAAATGTCCGACTACCTTTAAATTTTTTAACAGTTCAATATTTTTGTCTGTATATATCTGGTCTGCTATATGTGGTACCTCACGCATATTTCCACTTTCTCCAAAATCTTGCACATATCTCATATAAAGTATAGAAGGTAGACGATAAAGTCCAAATATGGCAATATTTTTATTAGACTTAGGTCAGGTACGAATTGGACAATATTGGGCAAGTGCTTCGGAACCTCACCCGTTAAGAGTCAACATGTTTGAATAATCATAACTCAAGGCTGGGGGTATACATCTGTCGGCCAAAGCGACTGATACTTTTTAAGTTGTTTATTCAAACAACAGTTTTTATATATTGTGTCGGAGATTCCGTCATCATCCTCGCAATGACTCATAATAAGTTCTAAATTTAAATCTTTTATTTTTTAAAAGCTCGTGGGGTTTCTCCCTTTTTGGTAGGCGTTAACCTTTTAAGTCATAGTCCAAAATATTTCCCATTTCATGATAAATTGCATCATCGCACTTCTTCTAGTAATTCCAAAAATACCTCCATTGATTATGGCAAGAATCTACGTTGTCCCCATTCAGAAAAAAGCCTATGGTTGATTTATATAGCTATTGTTCCTGAACTCAAACCGTGATAACAACCTATTTTAGACTACGCCTCAGCAGTTCAATGGCATTTCAAAATGCACAATTCGCAATAAACAAGAATTAAATTCAAATGTTATTTACGATTTTGAGTTCTATTGTCGTATCTTATCATTGCTAATTGTTCGAATAAAGTTACGACGAATGTCTTGTCTACATAGATTTCTATGTTCTAAATTGTGACCTTTGAACCCAGTGTGTACAAATCAATTATTTTTTGAGCAAAACAATAATTGGAAGATAGACATTTTTTTCCGATCAGGATGTTGTGTCTAGTCATAATATTTCAGGTGTTTGAAATAAACTGTTACACTCCATATTCTAAACAAGTCACACCATGGAGCTGAGAAATTCAAAACATCAGAATGTATCTGAATTTAATATCTTTCTCTTCCCTTATCAACTTGGACTTTCCATAGGAACATAAATATATAACCTAAGCGTAATAAATAAATATCTAAGTACACATATGCAGAACACATTCTTCATTCATAATTATGACAGGGCAAAATGTCGACAATGCATATATCACTGAGGTTCACTGGCCCAGAGAGAAGTGATTTTAAATAAATTTGTATTTGATATAGAGGCTCAGATATGAGAAGATATAATAGGACCTGCTGATCTTCTATGAGAAAACCTGCTGATCGCCTATGAGAAGATTTTCTGATCTTCTAAGAGGAGATGTTCTGATCCTCCATCTTCCATATGAAGATCTTCTGATCTTCCATGAGAAGATCTTCTGATCTTCCCTGAGAAGATCTTCTGATCTTCCCTGAGAAGATCTTCTGATCTTCTACAAGATGATCTTCTACAAGAAGATCTTCTGATCTTCTACAAAAAGATCTTCCGATCTTCTACAAAAAGATCTTCCGATCTTCTACAAGAAGATCTTCCGATCTTCTACAAGAAGATCTTCTGATCTTCTACAAGAAGATCTTCTGATCTTCTAAAAGAAGATCTTCTGATCTTCTAGAAGAAGATCTTCTGATCTTCTACGAGAAGATCTTCTGATCCTCCATCTTCCATAAGAAGATATTCTGATTTTCCATGAGAAGATCTTCTTGATCTTCCATGAGAATTTCTTCTGATCTTCCCAGAGAAGATCTTCTGATCTTTCCTGATAAGATCTTCTGATCTTCTAAGATAAGATCTTCTTTTCTTCTATGAGAAGAACCTCACGTCTTCTGTGAGAATACCTTCGGGCCTTCTATGAGAGAACCTTCTGGGCTTCTATGAGAAGGTCTTCTAGCCTTCTTTGAGAAGACCTTCTGGCCTTCTACGAGAAGACCTTCTATGAGAAGACCTTCTGGCATTCTGCGAGAAGACCTTCTATGAGAAGACCTTCTGGCATTCTACGAGAAGACCTTTTGATCTTCTATGTGAAAACCTCTTGATCTTCTATGTGAAGACCTTTTGATTTTCTATGTGAAGACCTTTTGGACTTCTATGAGAAGACCTTCTAACCTTCTATGAGAAGACCTTTTGATCTTCCATGTGAAGACCTTCTAACCTTCTATGAGAAGACCTTCTGGCTTTCTATGAGAAAACCTTCTGGCCTTCTATGAGATGACCTTCTGGCCTTCTATGAGATGACCTTCTGGCCTTCTATGAGAAGACCTTCTGGCTTTCTATGAGAAGACCTTCTGGCCTTCTATGAGAAGACCTTCTGGCCTTCTATGAGAAGACCTTCTGGCTTTCTATGAGAAAACCTTCTTGCCTTCTATGAGAAGACCGTCTGGTCTTCTATGAGAAGACCTTCTGGCCTTCTATAAGAAGACCTTCTGGCCTTTTATGAGAAGACCTTCTGGCCTTCTATGAGAACATCATCACGTCTTCAATGATTAGACCTTCAAGTCTTCTATGGGAAGAACTTCACGTCTTCCATGAGAAGAACTTCACGGTGTTCTATGAGAAGACCGTGCATTTTCGTGGGGGTTCATATCATCTGCAAAATACTCTCTGTCCTTCAGCGCTTCTACAGAAACTCCCTGGACTTCGGTTAGCCTCTATGTGCTCCCTAATCTTCAGATTTTCTATATAAAATCCCCAATCTTTAATTCGTCGTTATAAACTATCTGGCCTTTAGCCCTACAAGGGGCCTCGGCAGCTCTTCTGAAACCATTTTGTTTATTAAGGCTTCTCGCCTTCATCACCTTCAAGTAGATTCTAGGAGATCAGCTCGGATATGTAATCTATCTAACCTACAGCGTCCAGAGAATTTTCCGGTCTTCAGATAATGAATATATATTCCTTAACCTTCAGCTCGCGAGTATAGATTGCATAACCTTAAGTTGGTCTATGTATACTCCCTGGCCTTTAGCTCATTTCTATACTCCTTTCTGCCCGTCCACAAGGAATTCTTAGCTTTAAGCCAGGATATACTGACTCCCACCCTCGATTGCCTATAAAGGTTTAATGATTTTGACTTCTGTTCAGTGAATCTTGGGTGAAGTTGATCTGAAAAAATATTTTGTTCTTCTGATATTCGACAAAGATTTTCCAAGAGTTTGATTAACTGTAAAATACGCTAGTCTTCTATATAGACTCCCTGGCTTTTAGATAGCCTTGAAAGTCTTTCCAGTGACAGTAAAATTGTGGGTTAATTGTTAATTCCTAATTTAAAAAAAAAAATAAAAATACTAGGAGTTCCGAAAATTAACTTAATGTGAGAACTCTCCGCTATTTAAAATCCATCAGGCGTGCAACAGTTGTCATTAATTCGTCGCTTCTCCAAAACAACCCAGCAAATTATAATTAAACAATTGAACACACTAAGTTATGTCGTCATTTGGCACAGAATTAAGAGTCAGCTGAACGACAGATGAATGACACTCACCCAGACATCCATCCATGAGTATTCGATACAATGCCGCACCGACCGATATGGGTAAAACACATACTTACATTTATAGCATTTGGAGGGATAATTTTTTTTTTGTTAGTTTGGTGGTTCTTGCTCTCTGCTCTTGGTTTGGTTGCTGTTGACGACGACGACGATGACTCTTTGATGTGGCGTTGTTTGGCGCTTGTTTCTTGTTTTGTCTGACCGACTTTCCCGCTTTGCTCTCACATGAACAACAAAAAAAAAACGTTCTATGAATGGATTTTGATTTTTGTATCTTTTGGTTTATTTCTTTATTTTTGTTATTTAATTTTATTTTGGTTTGATTCTCTTTTTAATTCTTCGACGTCGTTTTCGTATTCCTCTTCTTCTTTGTCTTTTTGGATATAGGTAATTAAATTGTGTAATGACAGAAAATCAATTTACTTTCTTCAATTAAAATTTCATCTATTAAAAGTTAAAAACAATTAAATATTGAAATAAAATTAATCACCAATCACGCTTGTTGTTCAGCCAGCCAGCCCTTATAATCGTTATATGTAAATCACAAATTGTTTTTAACAAACAATTTTCCATTATTACATTCACATGCACTCTTCTATCTTTCAATACAACAGGTTATTTACTTCTTTGCGTGACGCGTTTCTCAATACTATACGGATGGCGGTGAAGATGTTTTTTTTTTTTTTTTTTTTTGTATTATTTTACAATTCCACTGATTCCGATTTTCGCCTCCAATGTTCCGTATACCGCACCAGCTCACTCACCGAACTTTCCACTCACGAGTTCCGACACCAACTAATTTTTAATTTGCAATACAATTTGTTGAAATTGTTGTAAAAATGTTAGCAAAGAACAATTATCAAACGAACTTGTATGATTCGAGTGGGTTGCGTGTGAAGTTCGTTGCCAACGATGTTGCGACCGCTTGGCCATGTTTTTTGGTGTTCTTTTTTACCGGCATTAATTGTGTGACGTTCGAAGGGCAATTTTTTCTTTTCTCAGAGATATTTTGAAAACAGCTGTGGGATTCTCTCATACAGGTAAATTTGGGGGGAACAAAGACAAAAAAAGGAAAACAATGGAGCAGTTGTTTGGAGTAAAACAGTGATGGACAAAAGTTTTCATTTTTTTCTACGGCAATGCAAGTTGTATGATAACTTAGGCATTTTCTTTGGACCGACACTAAAGTACACTAAAAGTACTCGGACGACAAAAGATTCTTTATAAAGTATCACACATGCATCTAGGTCGAGACTGCCATAGCTAAACCAGTAAAGAGAGGAAAATAATCGGGCGGGTCCGAGTATGGAGTAGGTTCCGAAGGCCAATATTGCCAATATGATATAAATATTGCGACGTGCCTGGTTTGGAGTATATCGACTACTTCCTTATCTTTATATGAGATATCTGATAATTTCTGGAAAATGTCAAAATGTGCGGGAGGTACCAGATATATATATATATTTCATACATCATTTAATACAGATAAAAATATTGGTATGGGCAAAATGTCAAGAAAATCTAATCGAAAATCGAAATCCAATTTTATGCGAAATCGTAAATTTCATATTCATCTCAGGTGTCTGGTTGAGAGAAATATATTTTAATATAGCAAGTTGTAAAGAATCGCTGACTTGTTCTGCAAGTTATGACAAATAAAAAAAATGAAAATTGTGGCGCATTGTCGGTGAGTTACCAGAAGGGGTTCGCAGATATATCATTAACACAACAGATCTTGTGTTTGCAAAAATGTTTGTATGTGTTAAATTTGAAGAGAGTTGGATGCTTATTCCGATTTTTTTGGCCCTTTTAGGGGAGGGGTTAGGAGTGGAAGAAGGAGGTTAGTAAAAATATTGGTATGTGCGGAATATGAATAGAGTTGGATGCTTTTTTCGAATTTTATGATCATGTAAGTTATTTAAAATTTTGTGGGGGAGGTACCAGAAGGATTGATCCGATATCAACCATTTTTATAACAAACCTTGTGCTGATAGAAATATTGAGATGTGCCAATTTTGAGTGGGATCGGAACTTAATTTCATGTTTTGTGGGCTTCATTAATGTTCAAAATATTAACCCTTTGTGGGGAGGTTCCAGAAGTAGTGGACCGGTATTGCCCATCTTCACAGCAGGTCTTGTGTTAGTAGAAATAATGGTATGTGTGGAATATGAAAGAATCAGATGCTTTTTTCGAATTTTATTATCGTTTTGATTATTCAAAACTTTGCCCCTTTGTGGGGCAGGTACCAGAAATAATAGTGCGATCTCTACCATCTTTATAACAGATCTTGTCTAGAATCTTGAATGGAATCAAATGGTAATTTCGCGTTTTATGAACTTCATGAATATTCAAAATTGACCCTTTGTGTGGGAGGTACCAGAAGGAGAGGAACCGATATATTCCATTTTCACACCAGACTTTGGGTTAATAAAAATATTGTGATATGTGCAATTTGAAGACAATCGGACACTTACATTTTTATGATTATGTTATGATTATTCATAATTTTGATGGAGTGGACCGATATTTTCCATTTTCGCACCTGACCTAGCACTGATGCAAATATTAGGATTTGCAAAGGTGGAGCAAAATCGGATTGTAGCTTCTCTTTCTGTGCAGAAATTATTTTCTCTAAAAATATTGACATTTTGTGTGGGAGGTACCTGAGTGTACCGATATTGCCCAACTAGATCTAAATTTGACAATAATATTACGATGTACCAAGTTTGTATCAAATCGGTTATTCCCTTCGAAAGTTATCGTGCGCACCAGCCATACAGACGGACGAACGGACATCGCTAGATCGACTCCAAGTGCCCTGAAACGGATTTAGTCCAAAGAGATCTAGAGTCTAACACCATTATTTCGATGAGGCACGTTTTGACCGTATCAAATGATATATACCCTCTCTAGCCATATGACTGAGGGTATAATTAGCATTTTTTCCGAATTTGCTGCAAATTCTCATCTCATTTTACTGTTCAATACTCAGTCTGGGGTGTGGAAAATTCCAAGTGATTTTTGTAGTACTTAGTTTGTGGATTGATTTTTGGCGTTTTAAGCCAAAGTTTTTTTAGGACTTTATATAAGGTTGGCCATAGACAAAGGGTGCCGAATATTTTAAAATATATTTCGCAACATTTAATATAGAGCTTTAAAAAAGGTATAGAGAGATTTGGATTACTTCAAGAAAAATGGATCATATCGGTCCGCACTTTGGTATAGCCACTATGTAAGGGCAAACAAATATTTTTTAGTCATATTTTATTTATTTTCAGATTATTAACCAGGTTCTCCTGAAAAAGTTGCAAAATTTGTCGAAAATGAAAAATCAATGATTGTTTGAAAAAAATATTCTTACCGGAATAAAATGATTTTCGGTCAGGACGTCTTAAAAAATGTTCTCAAAAAATCCAAGATTTCTATTTAGCAGGTCCCTATACAATTTTCCTTGAAAAAGGTTGTAAAAAATAGCTTACGAAATCCCAGATTATAAGCTTATTCATATTAGGGGATACACCGATTTTAATTACTTGTTTATGTTTTAGTCATATTTTCCACTCAATTTCCCCAAATTTGGGTATTTTGAGTTCTTTTTTATGGACAAACTCTTCTAACAGAAAATGATCAATATAGGTCCCCGTTTTAGTACACCCTTTATATACAGATTCCGCCTGATTTTAGTTAGATTTTATTATTATATAAGATTTTCGACAAAAGGTCCAGAGATGTCTTATCTCTATGTAGCAGTCTTTCGTTTGATCTACATGTGATTAACAAACTAAAACTAGTTTTTACACAGCCTTCGCCCAGACTTTTTTGGATAATAGAACCTTTAAAACATAAAAAGTAAGAAGTCATTTCAATAAACATGGAGAAGTCGTAAAAACTACTAATTTTTGTTGAAAACACCACCTCTCATTTTTGTAGATGATCATCTTTCATTCAGATCCACGTACAGTTGAGTTTCATTGTTCCAAATGTTCATTGTCAAAAAAAAAAAACACCTGTTTTTTGCTACCTACCCCCTACTTAAATTATCGTGCAATTTAACATTCCCAAACCTGGCAAACAATTGTAACTGATTGATGAGAACCCGCTCTTTCTCTCTCTCTCGCTCACTTATAAGAAGAGTGTCTTAACCCCGCATGACAAAGGTACATTTAATTGATATTGTTGTTGGTGTAAGTGACACCTTCTTTTTTTTGCTTGAACGCATTTTAACGAACCTTTTCTTCTTCGTTTTTTTTTTTTGTTTTTTAATTTATTTCTTCGTTACAAAACGGAATTCTCAATTCTGTGCAAGTGACGGGTGGTTGCCGCTCGCTCATTTACCAATCGGACGTGTTGAATTCAAAATCATGAAAATCTTGCCGCTTCCTTTGCGGCCACAGATACGATTTAGAAACGAACGTAACAACATCACAAGGATGAAGATCGTCTGTCATCGTCGTCGTCGTGTTTTAAGCCGAGTGTGAGTGATTGTGAGTCTGTAAATTGGCATTTGTGTGTGGATGGATGCGATAGATCCAATCAATAATCAATCGTTCGTGTTGTTGCGAAATCATAAAAAATTGGATCGGCTGTCGAGGTACATGTCTGTATCTATGTGTCAATATTTAAAAGAAGACCACGGAGGCAAAGCTAAGCAAAGAAAGACTGCACGGATTTCAAAGTTTCGTTTCGTTTTTTTTTTGATGATTTGAATTTTTTATTTCCATTTTTATATCCGAATCATTGCATATCATAAAAACTGAGGTGATTTCTGTTCCGTTTTGTCAGCGTCATACTTGTGGGGCTCGTCTGCCTGTCTTTTCGATCGATTTGCTAGTCTTGTCTGTCTGTCTCGCCGCCGCCGCTGCTGCACAAAAAACCAATTCAATTGTTGTTGTTCGTTCGTTCGTTTTATATTATTTTGTGAAAATTTCGTATACGCATAAAAAACGAAGGAGGAATTAATTGGAAATTTTGCCGTCTCGGCAATAAGTCGTGAAATCAGATATTGCACATTGTACACATATTTCAATGAAGGCCTGAAAAAAACCCAACATAATCGAAAAATGCTATCCAGTAGTACGCATAAATATCGCCCGGGAACGTTGCTAATGTCGAAACTTGGTAATTTTTTAAAATATTTGTGGTTGAAAATACTCTTGGCCCTAACGGAAATACGCAAATATCACAGCTATGGTAATAAGTTAGTTAAGTTCAATGTAAATGTTGCGAGTCATCAGCAGCAGAATCACAATCAAAAGAAGCAGCTTCAACATTCAAACACCTTAAAGAAAATACCGGAAGTTAAAGGATTACCAGTGGTTGGAACATTATTTCATTTGCTAGCTGCCGGAGCAGCACCAAAGTAAGTTTAGTGTTCAAAACTGTGAGATTTGAGATTTTTTGAATAACTGAAAAGTGACTTTATCGATAAACTGATTTGCTAACTTTGTGTACGAGTTGAAGGGAATATTCACTGACGAAATGACTTTGGAGGTGACTTCGGAGACTTTCTGATTGGCGGCTTTAGAGATGAGTAAGCGGCGTCTTTATAAACGAGGCTCCCTTATTTGAAGGCGTGTTGAAGGGAATCCTTTTAATAGACGAGTTGAAGGGCATTTTCTTAGAGACGACCTGTAAGCAGTCTTTTATAAATACGAGCCGAGGGCAGTCGCCTTTATAGTCAAGGCAGCAGTGAGTCTTTTTAGATAAGCTAAGGGAGTCTATATAGAAGAGCAAGGTGAAATTAGTCGAAAAAATCGAAAGCGATTATTTATACACGAGTTAAAAAGAGCCGAAAGGGAGCCTTTATGGACGAGCTTAAGGGAGTCTTAATCGATCACCTGAAGGAAGTCTTTATAGACAAGCTGAAGTGAGTCGAAAGGAAGTCTTTATAAACGAGCTGAAATGAGCCGAATGAGAGTCTTTGGATACGAACTGAAGGGAGTCGGTCCCTTATAGCCTTAAAGGGAGTTATGGACGACTTAAAGGGATACGAGTATTTATCGAAATATTGAGTAGCTGAATTGAAGAGAATCTTAGGAAACAAGTTAAACGGCGGCTTTATAGGCAAGACTTCCTACGTTGTAGAACGAGCTGTAGTGTATTTTTATAGGCAAGTTGAAGGGATTCAGAACGCAGTATTTATATACACTCTAAGGAGAGCGTCCCATAGGCAAGTATTTATTGATAAGCTGATAGGAGTCGATAGGAAGTATCTTTAGACGAATCTCTACTGACGCGTTAGAGAGTCTCCATAACCCGTTGAAATTAGTCTTTTTAGGCGAGTTGAAGCCAGTATCTCTGGGCGACTTGAAGCCAGTCTCTCTATGAGCGAGTTGAAACAAGTCTCTCCATAGACGAGTTGAAACGAGTCTCTCCATAGATAAGTTGAAACGAGTCTCTCCATAGACGAGTTGAAACGAGTCTCTCTATAGTCGAGTTGAAGCGAGTCTCTCTATAGACGAGTTGAAACGAGTCTCTCTATAGACGAGTTGGAACGAGTTTCTATAGAGACGAGTTGGAACGAGTTTCTATAAAGGCGAGTAAAAGCGAGTCTCTCTATAGGTGAGTTGAAGCGAGTCTCTATAGGCGAGTTAAAGCGAGTCTCTATAGGCGAGTTAAAGCGAGTCTCTATAGGCGAGTTAAAGCAAGTCTATAGGCGAGTTGAAGCAAGTCTCTATAGCCTTGTGGAAACGAGTCTCTATAGACTTGTGGAAACGAAAATCTATAGTTGACGTGGAAGGAAGTATTTTAAGACGAGGCGCATGGGTATTTTTTAGACATGGTAAAGAGAGTATTTCGAGACACAGGGTAGGGAGTATTTCTGGACCTGGAGTATTTCATAACGAGGTGAAGAACGTATTTCTAAAAGTATCAAAGCGAGTATTTCTGAACGTGCTGAAGAAAGCATTCCTGGTCGTTGTGGAGAGAGTATTTCTGGACGTGGACTATTTCCAGAAAAAGTGAAGGGGGTATTTTAAACGTAGCAGAGTATTTCTTGTCGAAGTAAAACGAGTATTTCTGAACGTGCTGAATTTGGTGTATTTCTAGTCAAGTTGAAACGGGTCTCTACAGACGACGTAAAGAAAGTATTTCTAAACGTCGTTTACAGATTTTTCGAAACGAGGCGCAGGCGCAGGGTATTTATAGTCGTAGTGAAGGGACTATTTCCAGACCTGGTGAAGGGAGTATTTGGGGAGGTAGAATATTACAGAATAAGGTGAAGGAGGGGGAAGGAGCATTTCTAGACGTAGTGAAGCGAGTATTTCTGGGCATGATGAATGGAGCATTACTAGATATAGGAAAGAAAGACTTGGAGTATTTGGAGACAAGGTGAGGGGGTATTTCTAAAAGTGGAGTAACTCTTGTTGAAGCGAAACTGGTATTTCTGGGCATGGTAAAGATTATATTTCTGGATGTTGGGAAGAAAATATTTCTAAACATAGCGTGCGGAGTATTTTACGATGATCTGAAAAAGTTTCAATAAACGAGCTAAAGAAGTATTTATAGACAATATTAGGGGAATAGATCTAGACGACATGAAGAGAATATTTATAAATGTGGCGAAGGGAATATTTTCATTTTTTTATACTCGAAGTGAAGGAAATCCATTGAAGACATGCCTCCATAAATGATTGTGTCATGCACCACTATAGGTTCCAAAATTTACTCCACTAACCTTATGCATGTGGCATTTTTATTAGATGTTGATCAATAAACCAAACATACTTGGATCCTAAAATTATTCTGGAAATTACATAAGCCTTTTCAAAAAAAATCACTTCATTTTGATTACATTTCACCTCAATGCCTTCTTGGCAAAAAAAAACAAAAATGGCCATACCACTTACAGTGTTAAGGCTTAAAAACAAAATAAACTAGAAACTGGGTCAACACACACCCCACCTCCAACACACCCCCAAAATTGCCCATTGAAATATTTAATTTCGCACCTAGAAAATGCACTGCAATTTGACCGGTCGAAATGGTGCAAAACAAGCGCGAAATTCAATGGAATATTGACCGAAAAAAGTTCGATGATCTTCGAACAAAACAAAATAGGTTTTTTATATTTGTTGTTGCCATGACAAAAAAAAATGTGAAAAACAAAACGTGACATTTATATATTTATTGAATCAATAATTCCGTTTTGGTTACTTCTGAGAAGCGTTTGTAATTAAGTAATCGTGTAAAGTTTTAAATGTTGAATTTGAAGGTCTCCTAAAGTCCTTTTGAAGTCCTTTTTGATAGAAGATAATCTTGAGTCTCTTGTACATAGAAGAACAAGAAAAAAAAGAAGCTAAGTTCGACCGGGCCGAATTTTTATAAACCTTACCATTCGGAAGGAACTTGAAAATTTTCAAAAAAAAAACCGTCGAAAAATACCGCTCAAATGAAAACCTTTATATGGGGGCTACACGAAGATGTGCTGCTGGATAAGTAATTTTTTTCATAGGCTATAGTAACGATTCCGAACTTCAAATACGAAATTTGACGCAATTCTAGTGAGTAATGTCGCCAATATCACCAAAATACCGAATATCATCAAAATACCGGTGGTACCATTGTATGGGGGCTATTCTAAGACATGGACCTGCATAGACAATTTTCTGTCATATGTTGTAGCATACATTACGAACTTCAAATACGAAATTTGACGCAATTCCGATGAATAATGTCGCTAATATCAACAAAAATCCCGAATAAAGGGAGTTGGACGTGTATGGGGGCTATACGAAGACGTGGACCTGCATAGACAATTTTTTGTCATAGGTTGTAGTACCCATTACAAACTTCAATTACGAAATTTGAATGAATAAATTGGCAAAAATCCTGGAAATACCAAATATCTCGGGGTAGCGTTATATGGGTGCTATACTAAAACATAGACCTATATAGACAAATCTCTTCCAGGGGGTTAAGCACTCAGAGGGAACACCTTGTGTGGATTTTCAGACTATAGCATTGAAAAGTGTGACTAAAATCATCAAAATACCGAATATCGAGAGGTACAGTTGTATGGAGGCTATACGATATTGTGTACCTATATAAACAATTCTCTTTCAGGGATTAAGTACTCAGAAGGAATTCCTTGTGTGGGTTTTAAGCCAATTCCTTTGAAAATTGTGGCTATAATCATCAAAATACCGAATATCTGGAGGTACAGTCATATGGGGGATATACGATGTCGTGGACCTATATAGACAATTCTCTTTCAGGGGGTTAAGTACTCAAAGGGAACTCCTTGTGTGGATTTTCAGACAATTCCATTGAAAAATGTGGCTAAAGTCATCCAAATACCGAATATCGGGAGCACAGTTATATGGAGGATATAAGACCTTTATAGACAATTCTCTTTCAGGGGGTTAAGTAGTCAAAAGGACTCCTTGTGTGGATTTTCTGACAATTCCATTTAAAAATGTGGCTAAAACATCAAAATACCGAATGTCGGGAGGTACGGTTATATGGGGGATATGCGATATCGATATCTTCGAACTTGATCCGCCTGCAGACAAAAGACTGATCGGTGCAAAATTTTAGCTTCCTATCTTTATTTGTTTTGACTCTAGCGTGATTACAACTGACGGACGGAAGGACACGGCGAAATCGTCTTAGAATTTTACGTTGATCAAGAATAGGGCGGAGTTCATTGGGACCTGGGTGTGTAAATCTGGTGACGCTGTGGCATCACCTCCGTCCTCCATGCCTTAATCTGTAAACCTAGGGGTGATAAAGTCAACTTGGACTGGGTTCCTATCCCTGAGTTATTGACGTCAACCTCAATTGCTACGAACCAATCTATTTTGTCGGTGTCCGTTGCGACGGTATATTTCCAAGACAGCAATGGATCTGCCCACATCAAAGAATCTGCCCACATTTAGAGTGGTCGTACTTTGTAGGGTCTAAAATTATAATTTCGATGAGTTACAGATGGAATGGCGAACTTAATATACCCTCCACACTATGATGTATGGTGGAGGGTATAGCAATTTTTGAGTGCTTCCTACATAGAAGACCTCCTGAAAGTATGTTATAGATTAAAACCATAAAATAAGGATTGGAGAAGTTTTGATGGTCCCCAATAATAATTTGGAAATATAATCGGGTCTCCAGCTATAAAAGATCTTCTATAGCCATAAGACTTTCATAAGCTTTCCATAATATCTTCGATCGTCAGGTTTTATATATTCCCTACCATGGAATAGATAAACAAACCTTTAGGATTGGAGTCGTTTTGTTGATCTCCTCTATGTATTTAGAAAATTTAGTCGGCCTTTATCTATAATGACATCTTCTATAGCCACAAGTCCTTCTAGAGCTCTCCAAGCTATATCTTCGATACATTTTTCTCATGGGCCATGATACAATCGTCAGGTTTTTTTTCTATTCCCTACCATGGAAATTATTGTACCATGCTAGCCTTTAGGAAACAATTCCATTTGTAGGTGAAATCCATTCTCTTCTTAAGATCGCTTTATTTAACACTTTTCTGTATATCTACGTGTTTCTTTTTCTTATATTCTACCTTTACCTGATTTACATTTTAGGCTACACATCTACATTGACAAACGCCATCGACATTATGGCGACATCTTTCGCGAACGTTTAGGTGGTACTCAAGATGCCATATTTGTCTCCTCAGCCCATTTAATGCGTTCAGTATTTCAGCATGAAGGTTCATATCCCAGACATCCATTGCCCGATGCTTGGATACTGTACAATCAAGAGCACAACTGTCAAAGGGGTTTGTTTTTCATGTAAGTATTGAGACCACCGAACACAAACAACGACAACTACAGATCGGATAAAGCAATAAGCATAACATTTGAATACGATTTAGATTTGATGTTGTTGTTGTCTTTTTTGGTTTTCTTCGTTTAATTTGAAATATATCTACTGCGTTCTTCTATTAAATATTCGATTTTGATTTCATTTGCAGGGAAGGTGAGGAATGGTTTCACAATCGTCGTCTTCTCAGTCGTGTCTTACTTAGCGGCAATTTGAATTGGATGGATTGGCATGTACGCCAGTGTACCAATAAGCTGATAGCCAAATGGAAGGAAGATTTGTTGAAAGTAAAGGAGAGTTCGGGTTATGAATGTATGCTCATCGATAATGTGGAACAACAGTTGTACAGATGGTCCATTGATGGTGAGTAAATTATTGGGAGGGGTAATATAGTTTAGGTTTTCTTGGGAGATGTGTCCATCTTTGGGGATATTTATACCCTACACCACAAGGTGGTCAGGATATTATGTCTTTGTGCATTTGTTTGTAACAGGCAAAGTAAACGAGATATACCCATAGTTCCTTTTGATGATCTGCATAGAATCTCATTCTGAGTCGATTTATGCATTTTCGTCCTTCCGTCCGTCTGTATTTGTATTTTGTAAAAAAAGTACAGTTCGCATTTATTACCCTATCCAGATGAAATTTTGCACAAATCATTTGTTTGGCCCAAGGACGAACCCTATTGAAATTGGAGATAATCGGTCAAAATTTAGATATAGCTCCCATTGTAACTTGTAATATCAGCCCGAATAGTATGGAATTTTGCACATACAACAAAATTAGGTCTAAAAATAAGTATGCCAAATTTGATCGAAATCGGTTCAGATATAGCTATAGCTCCTATATATATTGTTCACCCGATTTATTATTTTTGTCCTCCGCAGCCGTAATATGCACTCTGTAACAACAATATTTGGTGAAATATTTCAAATACAGCTCAGAAATACATTTGCTAAATTTTATCGAGATCGGTTCAGATTTGGATATAGCTCCCATATATAACTTCGTCCGATTTACTTTTTATTGTATACCAAACGCCTAATATTTGTCCAAATTGGATGGAATTTGGCACTTGCGACCGAATTGAGTTTAGAAGCTAGTATGTCAAATTTGGTGAAAATCGGTTCAGATATAGCTATAGCTACTATATATATTGTTCATCCGATTTGTTACTTTTGTCCTCCGCAGCCGTAATATGCACTCCGTAAAAACAATATTCATGGATATATATAAAATACAGCTCGGAAATATCTTTGCAAAATTTTATTGAAATCGGTTCAGATTTGGATATAGCTCCCATATATAACTTCGTCCGATTTACCTTTTATTGTGCACCAAACGTGTAATATTAACCCAAATGGGATGGAATTCGGCAATTACGACCGAATTGAGTTTAGAAGATAGTATGTCAAATTTGATCGAAATCGGTTCAGATATAGCTATAGCTCCTATATATATTGTTCATCTGATTTGTTATTTTTGTCCTCCGCAGCCGTAATATGCACTCTGTAACAACAATATTTGGGGAAATATATCAAATACAGCTCAGAAACACCTTGACTAAATTTTATCGAGGTCGGCTCAGCTTTGGATATAGCTCCCATATATAACTTCGTCCGATTTGCCTTTTATTGTGCACCAAACGTCTAATATTCGTCCAAATGGGATGGAATTTGGCACTTACGACTGAATTGAGTTTAGAAGCTAATATGTCAAATTTGGTGCAGAACGGTTCAGATATAGCTAAGGCTCCCATATATACTGTTCATCCGATTTGTTATTTTTATTATCCACAGCCGTAATATGCACTCTGTAACAACGATGTTCAGGGATATATATCAAATACAGCTCAGAAACACCTTGGCTAAATTTTATCGAAATCGGCTCAGATTTGGATATAGCTCCCATATATACATTTATACAATTTCAAATTAATTGTGCACCAAATGGGTAATATATGTCCGAATTAAAAAGATACAAATGCTTCGGCGTATTTAATCCTTTGAACTTTAAATTATAATCATAGCGTGTATGATTGAATTCTCCCAAAAAAAAACGTTTAATTGTTATGCGGAACTCTACTAAATTAGCAAAGTGGTGTAGGGTATCATAAAGTCGGCCCCGCCCGACTTTAGAACTTTCTTTACTGTTCTTTTTTTTAATTAAAAATGCCTTATGGCGACGAGACATACGCACTTGGCATATTAATAACAAATTATGAGGGACAGGATTCGAGTGCGGATCTGACTCTTTAGGATATGTCAACAAATTTGCCATGCCATGATGCCAAATCGCCTTTTTTATCACCTTTAAGGTACAAGATATATGAAAGAATGTTTTTTTCTGTCACAAGTCATCGGCTGGCTTCTTCTATATATATGCAGCTTTATTCTCTCTACATTTGCTTATTTAATTATTTTTAATTATATTCCACACTTAATTAATATGCTTCAGTTTTCTTTAGTTTATTTCGTATTATTTTAATTACACACATGGTGGTGCTTGGAAAAACGACGCGTGCTGGGGTCTCACATTGCATATGCCGAATGTAAGACCACCTTGCAAAGAAATTGCTTATTTATGTATTAAATTTCAAATTGATAGGCTGACCTACCCGATTTTTTCATTATCACGTTTTCAGTTTCAATTTCAGAGAAAAGTAATACGTGTGAACAAACATTCAAGGACATTTCGTTTTTTAGGTTAGAAGATTTCATTTTTTATGTATCTAAAATATTTTCAAGGTCATATGTCATTTTTAAAGGCTTATGCCATTTCCAATATTTTAGAAATCTATAGAATTTTTTACAAATTTAGCAACAAGCCTTATATTTTCCTTCTTAGCAGGAATTGTCTAGCAACTTCTCCCTGAGAAAGTAAAATAGTTTTATAATTGAAAAAAAAAAAACTGTTAAAAGTAAATAGACATAATCCCTGCTCAAACTTACAATTAACAGATTGGTCAATACAAAACAATCTGTCCCCCATGAAAAGAAACAAAACACTCAAGTATGTTGTTTTTTTAACCAAGAAAACCAAACAAAACCAGTAAGAAAAGATTAAAAGCCGGGCGGGACCGACTATATGATACCCTACCCTATAACCCTATTTAGTAGAGTTCTTGTAACAAAAACAGTTTGTATTGGGAATTTATGTGAAGTAGATCATACCATGGTACAATAAGGAGGTAGAACAGCTTTGTAAATCTACAGAAATACAGCTCTGAGGCTATGTCCGCTTCCTGTCAGATTCAATCAAAATTACATGCAACAAATTTTTTTCATTTATTTGATATTTTTTGTCAATTTTTTAAATGAGTCAAATAGCGCGAAAGGTGAATAAAATGCCTGGATGTTCTCTCAAAAATATACTCATGTAAGGGACTTGTATGAGACATATATATGGGAGCTATAGCTATTTTTGAGCTCCATAAGTTAGCTGGTACAAAATATCATTCTAGTGGCGTGCATATTACACATGTGAGGTATTTACTACCCCAAATCGGATGAAACATATATATGCGAGCTTGCTTCTAGACCAGGGCAAGGCAGAGAGCCTCAAAAAATTTTTGTGATTGTATGTGTTTTGAAATAACAAAATATTGCAAGTGTTTTCTTGCCTCTCTTTACAGAGTGAGAAATAATTGGTTATCTTTAAAATTTTAATTTAAAAATTTCCGTTTTAAAAACAACTTCGTTGTTAAAAATTATTGTTTTGATCAGACAATTCGGAGACAATTAATTTCAGAGAAATCAAGGGATAAGAAAATGTACATTAATTTGGAAGGACAATAAATTTGTCTAACAATATGAAATAAATTTCTATTCCTAACATGTGAATTCGTATGCAAATTTTGTCAAATAGAATTCAATTAAAAAAGATAAATCTTAAAATTTATAATTTTTACAAATTCGCCTGCTGCCTTGTCCTGTTCTAGACTGAGCTCTATCAGATGTGCCAAAATTCAAGTCATTTTGACTGATATTGGTCATTTGGTGCACAATTAACCCGAAATCGGTTGAAGACATGTGTGGGGGCAATATCTAAATGAACCGATTCTTAACAATTTAAATGGGCTTCGTCCGTGGGTCAAACAAATACTGTTTGGAAAATTTCATCTCAATCGGGTAATAAATGCGACCTGCATTTTGTTCGCAAAAATACATGGACAAATGGACGGACTGACATGCATACATAGACTAAAAATGTGACTCTATGCAGACCATCAAAAGGAACTATTGGTCTATCTCGCTTCCTTTTGCCGATAACAAACAAATGCACGAATACATAATACCCTGACCACCTTGTGGTCATTTATTTATTTATTTTACTCAAACTTATTTAACATCCTAATGAAGACTATAGCTTCTAAAACAAATAGCTCGTTGGCACCTAAAAATACACTTCAATTTTTTATTTTTGCTTTTAGCTGTAATTGTTCTGTATAGTACAGAACAATTTTTGCATTTATTTTAACATATTTCGTCAAAAGGATATCAAGCCAATTTCAATCATCTACAGTGATTTTCACCACCTTCAGGAGAAATCTTCTATATTCACATATCTCTCCTATATTTTTTCTATTTTAAACTTACCCAAGATGAACTCTAGTTCTATTGCCTAAAATTATGTTTTATATGTGTTTAAATTTGATTCCATGATCTCTCGGTACAGTTTTTCAAAAAATGAACATAACAAGGGGATCTGGGCTGAAAATTAACTTCCTGAATCTTGACAAATTTACGAATGAGTCTGGAACCACTTTAATTAAGAAAGTCCAATAGTATCTCAACTCAGTTTGTCATATCATCTCCAACAAATCGGTCTTAATAATTATTTATTAACTAATATTTTCCGCCTTACCTTAAACTTCATTAATGCGATTTTCTATATTCCCACAGTGGTCATATCGGTGATGTTCGGTACTACGGCAAGCGAAAAAGAAAATGCCGATCTACATTCGGCCGTTACTGATTTTTCACAAATCGTACATAAAATATTCGAAAGCAGTTCGAAGCTGATGAATTTCCCCCCAAAAATTGCCAAAAAATATCGCATGAAAATATGGACAGATTTCGAGGATAGTGTGCAGCGGGCCCTGTCGCAAGGCTGTAGAATTATTGATATGTATTTGCAATTGTGTTCGGAATATCCGGATGGTCTCTATGGCAAGCTGAAAGAGTCGGATACACCCTTGGATATGATTAAGCGATTGTTTGTGGATTTGGTGATTGCAGCCGGAGATACGGTAGGATTGTATAAGTGATTTTTTTAAACCGATTTTAAGTTGGATTTCAATTCTCATTTCAGACCGCCTTCTCCTCGGCCTGGGCCCTATACCTTTTATCCAAAGACAATAAATTACAGCACAAAATCCACGAAGAACAACTTGATCATAGTAATGTCCATGATATGCCTCTGGTTCGAGGTCTGGTCAAAGAAACCCTAAGACTGTATCCGGTGGCGCCATTCATTGGACGTTATTTGCCGGAAGATGCCAAAATCGATAAATATTTTATTAAAAAAGATGTAGGTGTGAGTTTTTTATCTGTCTCGATCATTAAATGTTTATATTTTTCTCTTTTTTTCTCAGTCTTTGGTATTACTATCGCTTTACACTGCCGGTCGTGATCCCAAACATTTTCCCGACCCCCTGGAGGTCATGCCTGAAAGATGGCTACGTGATGAACATACCGGGGATTATAAAGGCGTTTATAAACCCCATGCTAGTCTGCCCTTTGCCATTGGCAATCGTTCATGTATTGGCCGCAAATTGGCCCTATCACAAATGCAATATTTAATAGCGGAGGTAATTAAAACAAATTAAATTATTTTATTGTTTATTTTTTTAGACGCCTGTTGTTCCATAGATGGCCATTAAAGGATTTTATTCTAGGGTATATTTTCTAAACAAGGTCTTAGAGAGTAATTTAGGATGGTAAAAAGATCTTTCTCTAAATCTCTAAAACTTTTGGAATTCCATTCTAAGAAAGATCTGTTAGAGATATACTAAAGAAGATTTCTAAGTGACTTCAAGGGACTTATATTTTATAGAAGTGTTCCTCTTTCTAATTCTCTACAAAGTCTTAATTTTATTGAAGATTTTTAGGAAGTTTTCTAAGAAATTGTGTAAGTCTATTTTTGGACGTCTTTGAATTTTAGAAGTCTTCTTTTCTCACGTTCTTGTAAACAATATAATGAGCATTGGGACGAGTGGCTTAGAAATGAGAGCAGTCTGAAGTTAATTAAAGTTTTTTTCATCTCACCCTGTAAACTGAAATCCTTAATAGTTACACCCAATTTCTTAATATTCCAATATCTTTCATTCCGTTTCTTTTTAATTCCAGATTACCAAAAACTTCAAATTAAGCTGTGAAAATACAACACCAATCGAAAGTATACTGCGTTTGGTTACCGTACCAAATCAACCATTAATATTGGGACTTTGTCCGCGTATCACATAATTTTAGATAGCTATTAGTTTTGTTTTAGAGTAAATATTTGTAAAAGTGCATTTCTACCATGGTTATGGAATAATTCACAAATACTTAATAATATTTCCATAGATTATTCCATTAAGGTGCAATTTGTTTTTTTTAGACTTGTAGAGTAGAGCTTAGGATTTAGTGTAGTAATTTGTTAGTCTTGATACGAGAAAATATATACAAAATTATTGAAAAAAAAAAACAAACTTCTTTCATTTATCTTACACAGAAACACAACGTGCTCTCTTCATTTCTTTTTTTATTAAATATCGTCCAAAATTATAATAATAATAATAATATTACTATGATATGAGAGCCATTATCAAAACATATACAAGTGACATAAAAAATAATGCAATAACACCATACGAGGCTGAGCCCCAAAATATATAACCTATTAGCATAGCCAGAGCTATGAGAGCCAAGGTACGATATGAGCCCAGAAATCGCAAACATACACGGGCTGGTATGTCCTCCTCACACAGTTCGCTAACACCTGAAACACATGCCGAGACTATATGTTAAAATAAATGTCAACATAGAAAATGTATACCAAGTCTAATATTACAAACCTCTGGGTTTTTCGAACCACTGGGCCGTCATGGGAGGATATAACAATTGATGTGATATTTTGCCCAAAAAATCCGGACGATTCCAGAATTTGTGGAACTGCTCACCAAACTGCAAGACAAACATTTATAATTTACCAAAAAATTTGAAAAAAAAAAATCTCATATGCATACCTTGCCATTTAGCGCACAGGAAACTTGATGCAATAATCGCACCAACACCGTACATTCATGTGTTTGTATGGGTACGGTGGTGGGATCTATGCATGACTTCATATGGGCCAAATTATTCATCATTTGCAGAGGAGAGACCCGTGATATATCCAAATAGTCGCTGTTGTCATAGATGGAGAAATTAAGGCTCTTTGAGAAACTTTGGCCCACAACAGGTTCCAATTGTTCCATGGATATATTGGGCAGTTCAACCTAATTTAGAAGAATTCCTTTTTCAATAATTCTAATACAAAATAGGTTAGAAAAATTACAACAACTCACATTAAACATTTGACTCAACGAACGAACTGCCAAGTCCAGTATGTCTGGTATTTTGCTAATCTCCTGCAATTTCAATTCCGCCGGACTGGTATCACTAAACACACTGCTAAACACTTTTCTAAAGAATCCCAACGAGTTACGTCGTTCCATTTGTTCGCGTCGTATGGCATTAATCTCTTGGCCCACATACATGCGTGATATGTGCACCGTCTTGATAAATTGTTCTATTTCACATTTTATGGCCGAACCAAACATGGGTGTATAGACATCTTCATGGTAAAAACTACCATCCCATTCAACAGAAGAATTTGAGCTAAATCATAAATTTCATTTAAATATTGAAAAGATCTGTCTCTAACAAAATACCAACCTTAGGAAAGTGCTGTGTTTTCTTGGTGAATCCACAAAACCAATTGTATTGCCGGCATATGATTTTTCGGCATTGTAGAGTTTTTGCGGCAATGTCGATTGACTGAAAACCTATTGGAAATTTCAAATTGAAATTAGTTTTATATTCCAAATACTTGCCCCCTCCCTTCCACTTACCTTAACCAAACGATGTAACATAATAACATTACGCAGTGATGTAAAATCTAATCTCTCAAATCTTGGTAGGATGTGTACAAATATTTGTGTATATATGACTAAATTATCGGCTATAAACGTATCAAATCGGCTGTTTATGGGTACCTCTATATTGTTTCCACTGAAAAAAGAATATAGAATTAAATTTGCCATACAAGTTGATAGTTGACAATTGTTAGCCAACCTATTGTTTTGCCATTCAAAGGTATAACGCCAGGGCTGAATATAGCTAAGCCATAATTCCAATACCACCGACATTGAACTATCCAGGGGCCATCGGCCAATTATACTCTTAATAAAGGGATATATTCGCGGCCTCATCATGGGCTGGGCAATTTTACGCAACGTGGCCATTGCAGTTTGATCTAAACTGGCTGAGTTCGCAAAGGAATGAGTCTGCTTTATAAGTATTCGAACAACCCGTATAAATTCACTGCTTGGAAGATCCTTAAAAGACAGAAAATTTTGGTAACCTATTTTAAAAAGTAAAAACTGGTATACTTACCCTTGCCTCATCCACATCATACCTCAACCAGGTATCAATAAAGAAATGCAAAACTGATTCTGTACGCCATGCATGGGCCCTGGGCGAAGCCTCGCTGCTCCGCTGATTCATCTGTGTCATATTATTCGAACCCGAACCATACAATGACTGATTTGTTTGGGGTATTTTTAAATATTTTGGTGAACGTTTTGGCTGCAATTGCTGTACCGGCATTGGCTGGGGAGCCTTGACGCTGGTACAAATATTGCTGGGCATAACCATGGCATCTGGTCGGCTGGGCAGGAAATTACACAGATATTCGGCTGTTAAGAAAAAATACACAGTCTTCATGCGTTCGTTGTGTACTTGCAATGCAGCCGGATACATTTTATGCAATGGAAATGTGGCATGTATAACAAAATGCAACATGTAGTAGTCGAAGGCATTCAAACTCAAGGAAGTCACCTGCCTGCGAAAGGGATCTATATTGACTAAATCTGCATAGAACATGGAATACTGGCCCGAGTGTATTAACTCCACCAATTTGTGCTGCAATTTATTGTAAATTTAATTCAAAATTTATTATTTTTAATTTTTTTTTGGTTATCTCACTTACCGGCAAATGCTCCAAAGACATTTCAAACTTGATTTGATCATTTAATAAATTATAACATAAACGAAACATTGGTCCCATGGGTGAAAAGAAATTGTACAAAATATCGAAACATGGTGCGGAGTTTTCTTTGGTTGTTGTTCGCAGTCCCCAGCCCAAGCCACCGGTGCCAATGCCAAACACCGACTTTACTATGGTGGGAAAAAGTTCCTGCAGCTCACGCAGATTACAGCGATCAAATAATATATTCAATTCATGGCATCGATCGAACAGGGGGAAGCTCAATAGTTCCAATATGCGATTCTGAAAGAAAAACACACCGAAAAAAAGCCGCGACAATTCGCCAGATGTATCCTTTTTGCCAGTCTTCTGGTTTGTTGAAATAAACTTACCCCAATATTTTCGTTATAGAAAGCCATTTTTAAAATTCTTTAACAATAATTGTAAAATTGTATTTGTCAAGTAATTAGATATTTGATTGTATAAATATAAACTCATTAATAATATAAAAATTAAATTAAAGTAAGTAAGTAATTCTTTATTTGAGGCTTCCTCTTTCTTTGATAGGTTTACAATACGAATGGTTAACAGTATACCCTTAGAACTATTGTTGTCTTGTTCTAACTTAATCGTGATATATGATTATGCTACATTGCATGAATCAAGGTAGATCTAACAGGTAACCGCATCGGCGAATTGCTACAACAAAGCAAATTTTGTGGTCCCCTCAAATTTCAAAATTGGCAACTAAGGCGAAAAAACATAGATTCTCCATGACATTTAAAGGTCTCGTCGTAAACGAACGTCGCAATAAAAGTTTTTATTGTAAAACATATAAGAGTAAAATAAGTATTAATTGTGGTATTGCGATATTTTTTAAACCAAGAAACTTATAATGACTATATTTTACTGGTTTAAACCGAAAGTTTCCCGGAACTGCAAATGGCAAGAGTCGAATTCTTGCACTACTTCCCGTGATGTGCTTTGGGAATCTTATATGTTGAGGCTAACTTAATTCTTAAAGCTGCACTCCAATCTAACGTTCTTCCTTCATTTTCTTTTAATTTTTTTACTGGTTTCACTCTAAACTTGCTCTTAAATTATTTAAAATAATTTAAAAAGGTTCTTTTTGGGAAGACAACACAAACAAAATTGTTGTTGCATTCATTAAGGGCGAATTCTTCATTACAACAATTTGTTTTGACATTTAATGGTGCCGTCAGCTGGGCTGATGCGATTACCTAGTACATCTACCTTGAGCGCGTGGGAAACCAAAATGACAAATAACAAATAAGAAATCAAAAAGAAATGCCCGATAAAAAAGAACGAGAAAGCAAAATCCCCGAGGGACCTCTGTTGTTTACGAATGAGTGGAATGCATAACTCGACGCGTATAAACAAACATTACAAAGTCGGTCGTAGAAATAACGCCGCAAAGCGATTTTTGCAAGGGCTCTTAAGGTCGAAAGAGGGGTTTCTAGAATTTGATGTTTGTTAAATTCACTGTGGGATTCTTTATATTTCACTATAAGGTAAATGAAAGTCAGTTTTCAACACCATTCATCCAAAACACTTCAGAGCACCACGACAAATTCGCAAAGATGACCAAAATAAAGCATGAATGCTCTGTTCCAGAACTGCAAAAATTTACAATTTTTGCTACGATAACCAACTTGTCCTTTATAATATCAAAAAAAATTATAAATACATTCTTATAGGTTTTGAAATAGAGTAGTAGCCTCCTTAACGTTACTTTTTTTCGAAAATACCTTACGTATATCTTTTTAATTTCTTTCATTCCCATGTCACTTGAAGTTATCCTTAAATAAGAATTATCCAACCCTGGAATGTTTAAGACAGCTGTTTCACGACATTTTTCGACCTATAAACCCCCTTTTCTTTGTTTATTCGCCAAATTTGTTTTGATTCCCGAGTTTCGTCGGCATTTTGCGTTTGTTTACCATTTCCACGGCGTTATTTTTATCGCGAATCTCTGTGATTCTACTCTTAACGGCGTCAGTGTGTGTTGTTATTCTCGTTGTGGTGTGCTGGTGCGGTTTCTTGGATTTCCTTGGATTTATGCAAAATGAAATTAAAAAATGTTACAAAAGTTAAGGGTAAAAGGGATGTGGGCACCGATGGATCTACACAGAAAGTATCACAAATGACAGTTTCTCAATTGTCGAACGATGTAATATGGGAGGTAAGTTAACTGAAAAACAAAACGTTTACCCATCACTGATGATGTCTCGTGTGTGCTCTTTGCAGGTTGCCTCCAAATATTGGTCTCCGGATTCCCAGAATCATATGTCCTATAATTCAGATATTATAAAAGATATTTATCGTGCAGAGATTTTGGAACATCCCAATTCCACCAGACGTATTGTAATGTTAGAGTTTAGCCAATATTTGGAACAGTATTTATGGCCCAACTACAAACGTGATGATGCTTCACATAGCCATGTTATGTCCATTATTTATATGGTCAATGAAAAGTTCCGGGAACGTGTGGAAGTTTGGAACACATTTGAACAAAAATCCGAAGAGTTCCCGGCATTCTTTCGCCAGGTGTTGGAGAAATGTTTAGACAATTCGGGCCAAACTAAGGTGCGTGAGAAAACGGCATTGTTGGTGTTTTTGAATCACTGTTTCAACAGCATGGAAATAGAGCTGTGTCGCAATCAGGTGAAACGTTTGGTCTCGCTATCGATGTGGAGTTGTTTGCAGCCAAGTAGGTGACAATGAAAAACAGTTATAGCACTTAACTTACATATTTCTAAATTGCTTTTTAGAACGTTTGGACCAGGAACTACGTGAAACCCCCGAATGGAAACGTTATTGGAAAAAGCTGCAGAAAAAGGAGAAAAACGACAAGAAACCTGAAGTGGAGTGGGAAAGACATTTCCTGCAAAATTTAATTAAACAGTTCCTTAATATCTTGGAAAGTTTACCGTTGGAGGGTCCTATCGACCCCAGCATTTTACAGTATTGTGAACGATTTCTAGAGCTTATGATTGACTTGGAAGCTCTATTGCCAACGAGACGTTTCTTTAATACCGTCCTGGATGATACTCACTTGCTGGTGCGTGCACAAATTTGTAATTTGGTCCAACGATCCGAGGGAAAGCTGTTCGGTCAGGTAAGTAAATGTGTGTTTATTTGAACACGTTTGAAAATGTTATTTAACGCAAATGATAGACTGTCAAACAAATGTGTTAAACAACCATATGTAGGAATCATGTCCGATCAGTGAATGTTTTTAAAAATTTCTGTTTAAAGCCATTGAAATTATCTCGAATCGAAAATTCTACAATTATTTAGCCAGAACGTATCACATTGATTTGTTGTTAAAAAATGTCCGATTTTTTTTATTATTGAGTCACTGAAAATATTTTCTTTAAAAATCCAAGATTTTAGCCCCAGTTCTGTTCCAGAGAAGCCTTTTAAAAAATAAAATTAGACCCACAATTTTGTTCAGAATTTAGACTATTTTTAAGAGAGGGACAATAAAGAAAGTTTGATTTATCCCATCTTAACCCTTGATTTAAAGAAATTTAGACACTAAATTAATATCAAAATATCCGAGCATTGAAAAGGTCCTCAAGGCAATATCCCGCAGCACTTGCGGTGCGGATAAGGAGACCTTGTTGGCCTCTTACATAGTGAGATAGAAAAACTGCAACCAAGTCAAACGGCATAATTTTTACATTTTTTTTTAAATTTTTTTGAATGAAAGCAAAAAATTTTGAAAATAGCGTCAAATTTTAGAATTAATTTAGATTTGGTCATCTTTGGCACGAATTATGGCCTTCCAACGGTCTTTTGCCCATTCCCGCGAATTGACCAAGATGCCTTTTTAATTGCCGTTGAAAACCTACCCAACTCACTCCAAAAGATCTTTGGATACAGCCCATAAAAGTAGCTGAGTTTCTTTCTACATTTTCTCTACATTTCTACCTCTGTACATTTTCTTTGTACGAAATTCCATTGTGATTCACCACGGGTCCATTCTAGAGCTCATTTGTTCCTTATGTAATTGAGATAACCAAGAGTTTCACAGACTAGTAGAATTTAATTTTATCAGTTTTAAATTAAGAAAACTCATACCCATTACTTCAGCTCTTTGAGACCAGCTTTAAATTCATATATAGTTTAAAAGCTTTTTTCCGGTCTTACCGATAAAAAATATCAAAGATCCCGTAGATCTAAAATTCCTTCTGTTTTGTCATTACAAGCTTTCCCTCACAGCTGTTGATGCAGTGTCTTAATAGTGACACATGACACTGATTCCTGCCTAAATGGCCCTATTTCTTCAGCATCAAGAGATATGATGCAATGGATATGTTTTTAAAATAATAAATAATATTTGATATTTAGCTTTAAAAATCATTCAGTTTTCTCCCAACCAAATAATATTTAGTTAAACTATTTAAAAATTAAGTACACTTTATTTTGACTTGTTTTTTTTTTTTAATATATATAAATATTTAATCAATATACATTCAATGTACATAGAGTTTGATTATTGTAAAAAAATTAAATGCCTAAAATTAGGTGAGTTATCGAGGAGTTTATCTCAAGGAAAAAATAATTTACGCTGGTGAAAAACAAAAAATAATTAATTAACAGTCATATAGTAAAGATTATTCGTTTTCTATTCACCAAAATTTACACTGCACCAAGTACATATATATTATTGGAATATATATATAGAATTTGCTTGTACTCTGAGCATTATTGTTAACTTATTGACTACGAGGTTTAATACTATCTATAAATTTAAAATTATTATTATATTTCATATAAATACAATATTAAATATCAGTTCACTGTCAGAAACGTACACGTTTCCGGGGAATGGATTATTTTTCAGTTTTCGTTTTTCAATAATCATTACAATTCATGTAACGCATTTCATCACCCCAGTCATTGGTGGATGGAGGTTCGTTATAACAACATGATTTCTTTAGAAGAAATGTAACATGTTTTTGTCTCAGCACACAGACATATAATAGCAATGGGGCTTGCAAGGCATTGACTATGATTTGTGTGTATAAAAGTCCTTCGAATTTAAGCCATGACAGGCAAAGGAATAGCCATTCGGCACTCATAATCAGCAGCATAAAGGCAAACATTATGAAACTGGAAGATAAACGACAAAAAACTATATTAATGTATTCAAAATGTTTAAAATTTCACTTACTTGGCCTTAAGTTTATGCTGTATTCTCCCATAAACATTGCGGCGATTTATCAACTTCAATGTTGTCACATAGAAGAAAATGTCAATGAGTATGGTACAGGCAATGGGTGCAAAAAATATAGCTATACCCAGCCAACCCATTGTCTCTTGATCGGCTATTGTATTCTGTTTCTTATAGGTATCGGCATCCAAAAAGAAATGGGCAAATACCGCCATGGCAGCCATAAATGCCGTTGTACCCCACGCATACACTGAGTAATAACAATATTTACGGGCATCCGTTACTCTCAGGAAGACATTACGTGATCGAAATGTTTTCCAAATATAATAACCGAAACTATTTAACCAAAAGAAGGCAGCCAAGATACTGAAATACAATATAATATCAGCCACAATGAAACTGACATGATTTGTAAATTCCGTGAAAATGCGCACCAGGTCTGCCACCTGACTGACCATTAGACAGACGGCAATGGTCGTCACTATGTTGCCAACGAGATCTCTAAAAAAAAAAAACAAATATTTTGAGGTTAATTGTTGTTGAAAATCAAAATAGATTACAAAAAATAAAATAAAAAAAAAAAATAAAAAACAAGTTAAAAAGTATCAGTCGGTTTTTCCGACAAATGTATACCCTCAGCCAATGTTAGATTAATTAATTATATTTTGATTTCTGTTATGATTATTCAAATTCACCCTCTATGGAGTTGGTAGCGATGGAATGAGCAAATATTGTCCATTTCGTATCGGGCCTAAATAAATATGACATTTGCGACGTTCAGGGTTGGGCCTATCCTTCACTTTATATAAGAAATGTGACAATTTTTAAAAAATGTTAAAAGTTTGCGCGAACATATTCATCTCAGGTTTCTGGTGCAGAGAATTATTCAGATATGTCAAGTTGTAAAGAATTGCTGACTTTATTTTCGCAAGTTTTTATAGATAAAAGTATTGAAAATTGTGACCCTTGTTACGGGTGAGGTACCAGAAGGGGTTCACAAATACATATCATCTTCACAACAAATTTTGTTAGCAAAAATATTTGGATGTGTGAAATTTGAATAGACTTGGATGCTTATTTCGCTTTCTTTAAGCGTTTTGTTTTTCGAAATCTTTAACCCTATGTGAGGGAGGTAACAGAAGAAATGGTCCGATCTCTACCATCTTTATAACAGATCTTGTGTTGAAAAAATATTGAGATGTACCAGGACTGAATGGAATCGGATGTTAATTTCGTGTTTTATGCGCTTCATAAATATTAAAAATTTTGACCTTTTGTAGGGAAGGTACTAGAAGGAGTGGACCGTCGTATTCCATCTTCACCCCAGATCTTGGATTAATAAAAATATTGTGATTTGTGTAATGTGAAGACAATCGGACCGTTACATCACATTTTATAAGAGCTATAGTTATTCAAAATGTTGACCCTTTGTGGGGAGGTACTTGAAGAAGTTGAGCGACATTGTTCATTGTCGCACCTGACATAGCACTGATGCAGATATGAGGATTTGCAAAGTTGGAGCAATACCGGATTATCATTTCTCCTTCTGTGCAGTAAATGATTTTCTTTGAAAATGTTGACATTTTGTGGGGGAGGTACCTGAAGGAGTGGACCGATATTGTCCATCTTCGAAATCGATCTAAGTTTGATAATAATATTACGATGTAACAAGTTTGGATCCAATCGGATACACCCTTCGAGAGTTATCATGCGCACCAGCCAGCCAGCCGGACGGACATCGCTAAATCGACTCCAAATTTCTTGAAACGGATTTGGTCCAAAGAAACTTAGGATGTAAACCCGTTATTTCGATGAGGCACGTTTTGGCTGTATCAAATGATATATACATATGGCTGAAAAAAGTTTTAAAATGAAAAATGAAAAAAGTTTTAAAATGAATCGAAATATTTAAAATACGACGGTATCATATTATCTATACCACATAATCAATGAGGACAACATGCAGCTTAGTTTTTTGTTAATGGACTGCAAATCCTTTAAAATAACGCTAATGCAAATGCCTAAAATCTGGAAAACTCTTTGAGTAAAGGCTATGTTATCGCGGATTACACTGAGGTTTTTTAGTTATCGGTATTAACAAACCAACGACCACCCTACATAATCTTTTATAGATTTAACAAAATGTTTATCAATTCTTAGAAGCAATATCAATACCAAGAGGCAACTCTGTTCCTTTGCATGTTTTTTTCAAAGTCCCATTGACATAATATACAGCACCTTGTGTTTTATAGGCTCCCTAACTAGAAAACATATTAGAAATCTGATGCCAAACTTATTGAGATTTAACTCAACTTTTGTTGTTACGCTAATATGGAATCTTTAACATCTGCTCTTGTCAAACTTTAACATGATACGAACGATTTCTAGATGTCTTAATTTAAAGGCTCTAACAAGATGTGTCAATAAAATCATTTCTACAAAGGCATTTTAGTAGATTTTAGTAGATTACTAAATAAAATAACGACCAGCAAAATTACCAAAAAAAAGACAACAACTTACCTTAAGGTGGGTAATATAAAATATACGATTGCAATTATCAATAATATGATCAACGATATGACATGAAATATGGGATTCAATACTTTGTGCATTAGAAAATTTGTATCAGACCATTTCAACTCCTTCTTGGCCAGGCAAATGTTGGCAAACAAAACTTGTCTGTGATCACCGGATGTAGAAATTGCCTAGAAAATAGTTTAAAATTAAAGAGTTAATATTTAAACGAAACTAGTCCATTAGTATATGAATATATTTTTTCATAAAATATTTAAGCCATGGTAGAATTAAGAAGGTAAACCCATTTCAAATCATCATATCCAGCTCCACATTTTCTGTAATTTACTTTGTCAAAATTTAACAGCATAGAAATCGGGTTCCCCCTATCAAATTATGATTTGTTAACAACAAGATGTACAATTTTGAAAAGAAAAAATAAATTGTAAACATGCAGCGTGAGATAAAAAAACTACAACAATGTCAAAGGCCATATTTTTAATTTTTTTTCATCTCACCCGGTGTTATTGCACGAGGTTACCTTCTTAATTCTTCCATAATTTCACCATTTGACTTTATACTTCTCCACACTTACCCTATCTATGCAATATTGATTCCGTCCATAATCATAAAATAATGGCGTCGACACCTGGTCAGCAAATTGTTCGGCATAATCGACACTCTCCTCTTCTTCTTTTGTATTGGTGTAATGCCGTAATTTACCATCTTCCAAGAGCACCAATTTATCAGGGCTCTTTATGTGGACCATGGATAAATGCAAAAAAAGGTGAAAAAACATAAATTATCATTGTTATAATAAAATTTACTTTCTAAGGGAAAAACACTTACACCCTGATAATGATATATAGGCCAAGTTTGCATTGAACCACAAGCTGGCAAACCAATGACGAATTTAAATTTTACCGGCATATTGTGTTCACCGCCATAACTGGTAAACATGGGCTGGAAGTATTCTAAGCAAAAAAAAAAATTGAAATTCAATACTCTTACACTTTTGCATGGATATGGGTGTGTGTCTGCGTTTTTATACCCTACACCATAAAATTGGGAACAAAAATTTTTCATTCTGTTTGTAACACCTCGAAATTTTCATCACCATAGAACTCTAAATAGATTTAACGATCTTATGGAGATCAATATATTTTTGTTATAGCCCCGCCCACTACTGGTTTATTCTTCCAATGGGTTATATCGGTTTCCATTTGGGTTTAGATCTTTTAGAATAGCTCCTCAAAAAAGTTTCTCAATGATTCAGTATTGGCTACATCCCCAAATAAATGTAGGTCATGATTTTCGGGATTTTGAAGGATTCTGTCGCAATTTCCAGCTAAATTAAGAATATGGCTCGTGAGCTGAACATATCGCAATATTCCATTCGGTAAATATTGAAAAATGAGCTCGGGGTAAAGCCATTGAAATTCGAAATTCCAAAAAGTGCTAGAACTTACACCGCAACAGAAAGAAAATAGACTCAAAAGAGCTAAAGAGTTGCTTCGCTTGGCCGAAAGTGGTGAACTGCCAAATTTGGTTTTTTCCGATGAGAAAACATTCGTTGTCCAGCAGTTTGTAAACAAACAAAATGATCGTGTTTACTTGCCAAAGAGGTCAGCGGAAAATGTGCACCTTAGGTTGGCCATCAGAACTCAAGTGCCGGCCATGGTGATGGTGTGGGCCGCCACAACAGCCGATGGCCGCTCTCCGCTCGTATTAATCGACCGTGACATCAGAATAAAATCCGAATATTATCGCGAAAATATTCCGGAAGGTGTATTAAAGCCTTGGGCGCACAAACATTTTGGTCGCAGACCTTAGACATTCCAACAGGACTCAGCACCAGTGAGATGGCGCGCAGCAGGCGCCACTTAAGAATGTTACAAAATGAGGTTCCTCGCTTCATTTCCTGGGCACAATGACCACTAAAGTTTCCGGTTACCAATCCGTTGGACTATTGTGCCTGGAGTATTTTGGAAAGCAAGGTTGGCACTTAAAAATACAAAGTGTCTATCACCTCAAGCAAGCGCTTCGCCGGGAATGGGTCAAAATACCGGAGAGCAACATTCGGCAGCGTGTGACGGCTTCAGTGGCCGTTTGAAGGTCATAATTCGTGCCAAAGGTGACCAATTCGAACAAATCTAAACTTATTCTAAAATTTCATGCTATTTCCGACATTTTTGCTTTCATTGAATAAAATTAAAAAAAAATGTAAAAATTGTGGTGTTTGACTTTGTTGCAGTTTTTTTTTATCTCACCCTGTATGGTCGTCATTACTAGTAATGCTGAAAGTGACACATGCGCCCTCAAATTTCTGCTGGTATTCAGTATTAATACAGCTTTTGACATATGAACACGCCCTCGGACACAGCCAAGGGACCAGACCCTTTGATAAATTTTAAGATTTGTTTAAGGCATTTTGCTTCAAAAACTCAATTTCTGTCGGTATGGCTCCCCGAAATGGGTTCGAAAGGCTTTTCTGGCTACTTCGGTGGTAAGCCCCAAGTTTTAGCGTTTTTTAAAGGCAACTTAATTTACAACAATTTAACTTCTCCCCATGGTGGAGGGTATACAAAATTCGACACAACACGGATATAAATGCCGGTTTAACTTCTCTTAGTATTCCAAATACATACCACTTTCGTTGACTTGACTGCATACGGAGTCAATGCGTATTTCGAACTTTTCACAGCACTTATTTATCAATACCACATTGTCGCCATCATCACCATCCTCAGGTGAGCCACTAAATGTGGTAGCTGCACCACCAACACTACCGCCATTAACAATATCATTATCGCTTCCACTGCTGCTGCTCTGCTGTTGTAAATTGGCATGTGCCCCGGTCAATATCAGTGCCAGACAATGGATGAATACTAGCCAAGTTTTTAAAGCGATTTTATCCATGCCAACGTCTGATTGGCGTCGTGTTTTTTACAAAAATAAAATCTGTAAGTTAAGAAGATAAGTCAGACTTTGGATTTTAAGACGTCATCGTTTAAACTACATGTGTGTGTGTGAGGTGCGTGTTTGTGCTTTTGCTGTCAGATATTTAGTTGGCGGCAGTATTGTAACTTAAAGATCATTTTGTGTAACTTGTTCTCTTTCTTGTGGGTAGTTATTCTCTTTTATTCTCCCGGACACTAAAAAAAACTACTTTCACTCACACCAAGTCAAAGCAAACGTAACGTCGTTGAATCACAGATACCCACTAACACACACACACGAACAAAACTAAATGCCCCGTGGATTTTAGAACTTACAATGGGCTGGCTGGATGGCACAATTGATTGCTTGGCTGTAGTGCATTAAACCGATGTCGCCGCCGCCGCTGTGTCCAGTTCTTACAAATGATCTAGTCACAATTTCAACTTCATCTGATGTTAATTGAATATTTTGCTTCTATGGGTTTCGATTTCTTTTTGTTTATGTTTATATTACTTGTGTTTATATTAACCAAGAATTGTTTTATGTAGCCACAAAACTATTTAGAGAAACTTCATTTATTTTCTTTTCCTTTTTTTGTTTAAACAACACCTTCTTCACACCATCATCGTCATCATCACCACCACAAATATACATACATCCGTAACAACAAAAACTCTTCCTTCCAGAAAGACACAAAAACAAAGAAACCAAAAACCTTCAAGTGGCTGCTCCCGGTTTTTTACCGCGTTGCTGTATTACCGCCTGCCTATTCCCGTTCGATACGAAAGTCAAATATTCACTGGCATTTCGAGGCATTAATGCAGCCAACAACTTCTTGATTACTGGAGAGGTGGTTTTTTTTGTTATTTGTCTCTAAAAATGCTTGAAATATTTTTTATACATGTATAAAATGTCCCTCTCTTGCTCTCTTTCAGCGAGTTTTACAATCAGTCAGTCAGTCTGTTTGTTAGTATGTTGGACAGACAGGCCAAAACAAACCGCACTCATCCCCAATTGTTACCCATTCTTTTATGTGTGTCACCTTTATTTCTTTACTTCTCGCTTCTCTCTTGATTAAGACTTCTCTTTGGTAATGCATGCATTTACCATTTGATTAAAGAGCGTGAGAGAGAGTCAGTTTGTTGTTTTTTTTTTTTTTCATTAAGCATGGCTTTGTTTTTATTACTCCACCAATATCAAATTGCTCACCACAATTGAACTGTGTCACTCTCCAACTCTTGTTCATTGGTGTGTTGCTGTTGTGTATCATCCTAGCTAAACATTTTCCGTAATTAAATAGTACGGAAATAAATAATTTATCATAAATAGAATTGACATTTCTAGACCGGGTTCAGGCATGTGTTGGCAAAACAAATTGTTATTGTTAAGCATGTTTTCATATTGCCGGCATCCAGAGGCATTTTTGCAATAGAATAATTATGTAAAGGAATTTAATGGTGGGGGAATTTGGCTGGTGTAATAAGAGAGACAAGAGAGAAGAAAAAAATTAAAACAAAAATCCTTATTAGCAATTTGGGAAAGTTATTTTATTCAAAGATAAAATAGATTCGTCCTATATTAGAAACATAAATGCAATTTTCAATCGAATTTCCAAAAATTCTAGGATTTAAAAATTTATTTGAGGCAAGTTAGAGAAATTTCCACAGAAGAACTTTATTATTTTGAGAAGTTAGAAAAATACCTCCATATTATTGTAGAGTCTACAAAAATCAGAAAGAAATGTATATAAGGTCTTCTAACTACCTAAAGCGTTCTTTATCTATAGAACACCTCTAAAGAGCCTCTAAAGAACTATTTAATACTTCTGGAGGGTCATCTATATCTGAGGAGGACTTATTTTTATGAAAGTCCTCTGAAGGATTTATGGGTAGACGAGGATGATGAAAGCATGAAGTAAGTAAAAAACACATCAACTACACAAATAAGATAAATTCTTGAATGGGGAGGGTTGTGTTATTGCGTATTTTCCTGAATATTGTGCAGCAGAGAAAACAAAAATTGGGAGTTAAAATTACTCGCAAGCGGGATTGCTCGAAGGTGCGAGTTTACTCTTCATTCTTGTGGGAGCACTACCGAGTCATTCCATTAGGAAGATTCAGGTGGGAGCCGAATCACTTGAAAAGAGTGAGAGTCTGCTCTAGAAGTGAAACGAATGGAAAACTTCTTTAAAATGTTTAAGAGAAATATTCTCTTTATTTCCCTGTTTTATGTTTTACTCTCAAATTCAGTGTGTGTGTGCACGGGAATGCTATTGCATATTTATCAGTTGGAGATCCCTGTTCTAAGTGATTAAAGTTTGGAAAGTGTTTTTTTTTTTATATATTTTCGCATTTGTCAACAGAAGACAATACAGGGATTTTCTATCTAAAGGAGATCTTTATAGGTTGCATACCTCTAAAATATCTGTTGGGATTTCTTATATATAAAAGTCCTCCGAATGTTTTTTGTTTTTTCATTCAATCCATACAAGACCTCATTTTTTATAAATATAAGGATTTTTTCCTACAAAAGACCTCTGAAGGGTCTTCCAATCTTTGACCAGCCAGACTCTCTAGCTATAGAAGACACAAAGCAAGGTTTTTTTTACAGACGAGTTGTGAAGCATCTGAAGCCCTGATATATTGAAGACCTGATATCTATGTAGATCTTACATAAGGGAGATTAGTGAAAGACCTTTCATTTTAAGACACCAAAGGAGTCGTTTTTATACCCTCTCTTCTGTAAATATAAGGCCACTTCTACTTACGATGACCTTGAAAGATATTCAACTTCTGGTATACAATTTCTGAGAGAATTAAACAACAATAAACAGCTGGAACTACTTAACCTAATGTGTAGCCTAAACAGGACGTCCTATCGATAAATCGTTCTCTTTTTTTTTGTTGCCATGGCACTGAAACATTATGCTTCTTACGACATACATATGTATGTATGTGTTCATCGGCATATATGTTTGAGAGAGTGTATTTGCAAATTACATGCATAGTTCCTATGTTGTTGTAATGTTGCGTGTTTCAAATGCCGTGTTTGTTATGTGTGCCGCTCTCTCTCTCCTTCACTAATGACGCAAAAATAAAACACATGTGACGTTAGTAAATGTGGGGCTCCTTTTCAACAATTACAGCAGGTGAGCGACTTGAACATTGAAACATTACACTCTTGGCCGCCCACCTGTGGTCCTGCGGATAACAGGGTTGCCAAATTTTTAGCAAAATGTAAATACCAATTTTAAAACGGAAAGGTATCTAAAGTTTTTTTGTTTCCTTTTTCAAGCTCTTGGATATGTTGAAATTCTACAGCCGTTTTGAAATCAATGATGTCACCGGTGATTCATTAACCGATCATGACATGACTCAGATACATTATAAGAAAATCACGTCACTACAAAGAGCTGCTTTTGCAAAATTCCCCGATCTAAAGTTATTTGCATTATCCAATGTGGCCAGTGTTGATACACGTGAATCATTGGAACGTCACTTTGGCAGTTTGGATGAGAAGGCCTTGAAGCAGATAGCCAGCTTTTTGAATTTGGTACCGGATGATTTGAAGCCACCCTTCGATTGGTATCGTTTGGATGAGGAGTTTCTCAAAGAGCTGTTGATAACTCGTCACGAACGCCGTTGCTCCCAATTGGATGCCTTAAATGAAATGCCCCTCTATCCCACCGAGGATGTAATATGGGATGAGAATGTTGTGCCAACGGAATATTTTTCCGGAGATGGCTGTTTGGCATTGCCCAAATTGAATTTACAATTTCTAACATTGCATGATTATTTGTTGAGGAATTTCAATCTGTTTCGCCTGGAATCGACATACGAGATACGCCAAGATATTGAAGATGCGGTTAGTCGCATGTTGCCATGGCAATCGGAAGACGGTGGTGTGGTGTTTGGGGGCTGGGCGCGTATGGCTTTGCCCATAGCCTCATTTGCTGTGGTTGAGGTGGCAAAACCTCACATTGGTGAGAAGAAACCTTCACGGGTGAGGGCGGATATTTCGGTGACATTATCGGTGCGCAAAGAAATCAAAGAAGAATGGGAAAATCTCAGGAAACATGATGTGTGCTTTCTGATCACAGTTAAGCCAACAGTTCCATATGGTGAGTACGGAAAAATTATTGATGAAATTTGTAATAATGGAAAATTGTATTAAAAGGCACCAAATACAATCCTCGAGAACCTTTCATACCCCAAGTGGGATTGGTCCATGTTCGAGGTTGTGAAATTGAGGGTATGTTGGATGCCAATGGTCGTGTCATAGAAGATGGCCCAGATCCCCGACCCCAATTACCTGGTGAGAATCGAACCTATCGTGTTTGGTTGGATTGCAATCAGTATCGCCTAGACATGGATTCCCTGCAGGAGGGTGGTGACGATGTCTATGAAAGTTTCAACATTTTAATGCGTCGCAAACCCAAGGAGAATAATTTCAAGGCTGTTTTAGAAACCATACGCCACTTGATGAATACAGAATGTGTGGTACCTTCGTGGTTGCATGATATATTACTGGGCTATGGTGACCCTAGTGCTGCTCATTATTCCAAAATGCCAAATCAGGTGGGTTTTGAAAATCCTAAGCACCTTTAATAAATAAAAAAATAATTAATGATTTTCTTAATTATTAGGAACGTTCTCTTGATTTCAATGATACCTTCCTTTCCTATCAACATGTGCTCGATAGTTTTCCGGATTACAAATTGAAATGTGATGTACCCGAAGATAAACGCCTCCCACCATTCCGTTTGGTGTTTGAAGATGTCAAGGAAGTTGATGAAAACGGGGAAAGTCGTGACAGTTCCGAAGAAAGTAAGGTGATCTCTGTCCAAACATACAAGATACAAAATCGTGGACCCTATTTGGAAAATAAACCCAAGCAGTAAGTTTTCTCATTCCAAAATTAGATATACAAAAACTTGGGAACTTCATAATCCCAATTAAAGCATTAAAGGGTAATGTTAACATACTACCTTCCTACTACCATTCTCAGTAGGTTCAAAAGTGCTTGGCAAGAGTAGAATCTGCTCGATTTTTAACGAATATTGTTCCCAACCCAAAAACAAGAAAAATGTGGTCCCTCATATTCGAGCGACATCGAATAATTAAGTTTGCTCTGTTATTTTCTGTTGCCAGGAGCGCACTCGCTCGAGTTCGAGTGAGTTTCACTCTTTAAATAAATTCGAGCGAGTTTTTCGGAGGCCTGGAAGAGATACACCTATTAAAAATTCTCTTCCAGAGGTTGGATTAACAAGTTTTTTTTTTAATTTTGTAATTTTATTCGCCCTCTGAGTGTTCTAAAATTACAGATCTGGAGTGTAGTCTTGCCAAAAAAATGATCTTTTTTTGCATAGACAAATGAATATATACGCATCGGAAAGTTAGTTTTGTCTTTTTATTCAGGTGGCTCTCACCACGCTTTTGCATAGTCAACATTCTGATTAACGCAGTCGACCCACACGACTTCGAAAACACACTTCATCGTTTTTCAAGAATTGCACTGGATTCATGGCGTATTTTTCGATGGGAAAAATTGGACTTTTAGACTTTTTTACATCAAAAGTCGACCTACATATCCCTACTCTGTAAAAACGAAGAAGAAACTGACTTCAGCATCTCTTCATCCAGCAGCAATCTTCCCCAACGGATATTAAGATCTTCCCCACTTGCTTTTTATTTATATTAAACCTGGGATGGTATCGATGTCTTAGAATACTGCTGCTGCCTTTAAGGCAGTTGTGCGTCTTTTTACCTTGACCCTCCACCAAAAAAACAGACAGCTTTCGAAGTCTTAGAATACAGTAGCTGTCTTTAAGGCAGTTATGCATCTTTATACCTTGACCCTCCACCAAAAAAACTGACTTTTGATTTAAGAATATGTTTTCTGTTTGAGTTTTACATAAAAAGCGGAGCTTTCGAAGTCTTAGAATACAGTAGCTGTCTTTAAGGCAGTTATGCATCTTTATACCTTGATCCTCCACAAAAAAACTGACTTTTGATTTAAGAAAATGTTTTCTGTTTGAGTTTTACATAAAAATCGGAGCTTTCGAAGTCTTAGAATACAGTAGCTGTCTTTAAGGCAGTTATGCATCTTTATAACTTGACCCTCCACCAAAAAACTGACATTTGATTTAAGAAAATGTTTTCTGTTTGAATTTTACAAAAAAGGGGAGCTTTCTTCCATCTCTCTCTCTGCCCAGAACCTGATTTTTCATGGCTCTTCTTGAGAATTCTGGGAAATCCTCATATTAATAACTCTATTACTGAACATTTTTAAAATATTCCTTTTCGAACGTCTTCCAGAAATTCCATACGTTTCACACCCACTCAAATCGAAGCCATACGGGCTGGCATGCAACCGGGCTTAACTGTCGTAGTCGGTCCACCTGGTACGGGTAAAACTGATGTTGCTGTGCAAATTATTTCGAATATCTATCACAATCATCCAAACCAGCGTACTCTAATTGTTACCCATTCAAATCAGGCCTTAAATCAACTGTTCGAGAAAATCATGGCCCTGGACATAGATGAACGTCATTTGTTGCGTTTGGGTCATGGCGAAGAGGCACTTGAAACCGAAAAAGATTTCAGTCGTTATGGACGTGTAAATTATGTTTTGGCCAAACGTTTGGATCTCCTAAATCAGGTACAAAAGCTACAAGAAGCCATGAATGTAACGGGCGACAATGCCTACACATGCGAAACATCGGGATATTTTTATCTTTATCAAGTGATGGCGCGCTGGGAAAAGTTTCAAAATGAGGCTCTGCAAATGGCCAAGGATGAGAGCAACGATAATTGGCGTAAATTTTTCGAAGAAAAATATCCATTTAATAAATTCTTTGCTGATGCTCCACAACCCTTGTTTAAGGGTGATACCTTTGAGGATTACATGGAAATTGCCAAATCTTGTTTCCGTTATATTTCTCACATATTTACGGAACTGGAAGAGTTTAGGGCATTTGAGCTGTTGCGCACTGGCCTTGATCGTTCGAAATATTTGCTGGTCAAGGAGGCCAAGATAATTGCCATGACCTGTACCCATGCAGCATTGAAACGTAAAGAATTGGTCAATCTAGGATTCCGCTATGACAACATACTAATGGAAGAAGCAGCACAAATCCTCGAAATCGAAACATTCATACCACTTTTGCTACAAAATCCCATGGATGGTTTTAATCGTTTGAAACGATGGATAATGATTGGAGATCATCACCAGCTGCCTCCGGTCATAAAAAATATGGCATTCCAAAAATATTCCAACATGGAACAGAGCTTGTTTACAAGACTGGTGCGTTTGGGTGTGCCCACAGTTGATTTGGATGGCCAAGGTCGTGCTCGTTCTGAGATTTGTTCCCTCTATAAATGGCGCTACAAGAAATTGGATGATCTTTCTCATATCTTGGATAAAGAAGAATACCGCCGTTCAAATGCCGGTCTTCGCTATGAATATCAACTTGTCAATGTTGATGATTTTAATGGTGTGGGTGAAACAGAACCTAATCCATATTTCTATCAAAATCTGGCTGAAGCTGAGTACATTGTTGCTGTATTTATGTACATGCGTTTGCTAGGTTATCCGGCTGAAAAGATTTCAATTTTAACCACCTACAATGGGCAGAAGCATTTGATACGTGACGTCATCAATGTTAGATGTGGAAATAATCCTTTAATTGGCTGGCCCCATAAGGTGACCACAGTGGATAAATATCAGGGTCAACAGAATGATTATATTCTCATTTCGCTGGTGCGGACAAAGGCGGTGGGTCACATACGAGATGTTCGACGTTTGGTGGTGGCCATGAGTCGTGCCAGACTGGGTCTATACATATTTGGAAGGGTGGGATTGTTTAAGAACTGTCTCGAATTGCAGCAGACATTCAAATTGGTGAGTAAAAAGATTGAAAGGTTCCTGCTGCTTCCAGCTTCAATTACATTTTCGAAATTTTGAAAATTTTTTCTCGGATCTAATATGTTCCTTAATTGCAGTTAACAAAACGCTCACAAAAACTACAACTTGTGGAAAATGAATCATATCCCACGGAACGTAAGACCAATGATGATCCTCCCGAAGAGAGCATTAAAACTATGGAGAATATGACACAAATGGCTCAATATGTCTATCAGATGTATTGCAAAAAACTAGAAACCATAAAGGATCAACTACCTCAAGAATCATCTGCAGATACCGAAATGTATGCCAATATACCCACAGAAGAAACCACACAAGATTCCAACAATGATGGCGAGGAAGAAAATGAACTCGCAAGCATGGAAGTATATGAGCCACCAGCCAAGAAGGCCAACAAAGATGCAACAAGCAAAGATAAAAATTCCACAGCAGCAAGTAGTAAAGCATTTAAACCCACACCCATTGTAAACGAAATTGAGGTGGACGAAGAAGAAGTAGAAAAACAACAAGAAAAAACTGAAGATGAAAACAAAAACGAAGCAAAATCTTCAGAATAGGCATAAAAACAAGACATTCAATTTTTTTTAAATACAGAATAAAAAAATATATTTTTTATCAAAGATAAAAGTGTGTTCGTAGTTGTCTATTTCTTTGGTGCAGTTATGCCCTCCAATTGGGCCTTTAGCTGGGTATTTGTTTTCTTAAGGAATGCCACCTCTTCTTGGTATTTCTTTTCCTCAGAGGCACGCAGCTCAGCATTTCTACGTTCCGCTTGTTCATTTTTCAATTTCATATCTGCAATCATATCTTCCAATACTTCCTTGTCGCTTTCCAACGTTTTAACCCGTTCCCGTAGCATTTCTTTTTCTTCGTGGGCCTGTAAAGCTTTACGCATACCAAATGCCACCGAGCTGCAGTACAAAGTTTCATAGGCCTCCATCGACATGGCGATTTCATCTCTTATACGCAGTAAAAGTAAACCTCGTTCCGAGCAATTGATTGTTACCTGACGTATTATTTCATCTGGAAAGGAGAAATTGTATTAAATATTTAAAAAATTCGCCTCAACATACCAAAACATTGTGAGTATAGCTCTCGCCGTATGGGACATATTCCGGTTTCCCTGGCCTGGGTCTGCTGCAAACGGGTATCCAGCATTTCTTGTAAGTTTATTACATCTTGCCTGGTGGCCGGTGTGCTGGACACAGTTTGCTGCCACAGTTGTCCCTCCTCCTCCCAGCAACGGGGTGGTAATATGGAATTTAATATCTCCTCGGTTTCTTTTTTCGTATCCAACAAAGCTCCAGCTGTTTGTGGTCTTTTCATTTCCTATTTAAGATTACAATTCGGAGATCATTTGTGTTAATCTGTTGTCTTTTTCTCAAGAATCCTCTTACCAAATCTGCAGGTCCCGTTTTCTTATCCACATGTTTTACCACCAAAACGGGATTATTGTAGCGCACCAATGTTTGAAATTGACCAACGGCCGTTTGTTCCATATCAACATCCATGTTTTATTGAATATTATTTGTCGTTTTTTTATTTAATTTAATTATTTTGTTGATATTTGTTAGAAAACTGTTTAAATGTCTGCTCTTTTTGAAATAAACAGTTTCTTCCTTAGCAACCGGAAATGTTGAATTTATTATATTTATCGATAGTCATGCAATCGATTATTGGCGGCAACATTTGTGTGTGTGCATGTTTTACACAATTAGTTGTGGAGGTAACGTATGTCGTTGGAATGCCGCTTTCATGATCGATCTAAAGACCCCTGCATTTTATGTTTAACGGCAACATTATAACATTAATAAAAAGGCCTAACACGAACTGTTAAATGACTCTACAGTTTTTCTGGTGGACTTTTCGCTGATGAAATATTGGATACTTGCTAGTTTAGTAATATACAGGGTGAGATAAAAAACTGCAACAAATTCAAACGCCATAATTTTTACATTTTTTTTAATTTTATTGAATGAAAGCCAAAAATGTTGGAAATAGCATCAAATTTTAGAATAAGTTTGATTTGTTCGAATTGGTCACCTTTGGCACGAATTATGACCTTCAAATGACCAATGAAACCGCCACACGCTGCCAGAATGTTGCTCTGCGGTATTTTGGCTCATTCCCGGCGAAGCGAGAATTTTCCAGAAAAAAAGTTATTGGTGATGGAATTCAAGCAGATAGTGTGATTTCTTTATATTTGTTTGGAAAACCACAAGTGGCTATCGTTAGAGCACTCCAGCATTTAAATGTGAATCAATATTTTGTGTCTCGTACCATTGCTCGTTACCGTGATACTGGTAGCGTAGCCCGACGTCAAGGAAGTGGACGGAAGAAAACAGCAATATCAGCAGAACTGGTTCGAAAAGTAATGAAGCGACTTGATCGAAACCCGCGTCGCAGTGGCCTTTCGGCAATGGCTCGTTTACACTTAAAAAATATGGTCCATTTCATTCTCAAAATATTATCCTATAACCATCCAAATGTGGTAGACTTTTGCCCTGTCCTAAAATCTAATCCCACGCAAAATTAATTTTCGATCGGTTTAAAATTGTGACTTATCATCGGTACCCAAAGGATTTTAAAAATAGTTGTTTTTTGTATAAATGTTATTGCATATATTTTTTGTATCAATACATACGCACAAACTTATATGAATTCCTTATTAGCGTTTTAAATTAGTTTTGTGGACATTTTCATTGGAAGCATAATAATTTGTACTTAAAGCATAAACAGTGTTTTTTTTTTTATATTCTAACTAAATATAGACTTCATAACTAAATTAGTTTATTAAATTTATACATAAATGAAAATATTCAAATACAGCAAGAATGGCTATTACCTTAAGGTTAGTAATAATAGATTTCTATAAAATTAAATAATAGCTTACAATTAAATATAAGTAGAGGGGGATAAACAAAATATATGTATATTCATTTAATATGTTTTCAATAATAGAGATATATTTTAAACAGCTTATTATAGCTACTGTGTATATATATTGTATATTCGTATCAAAAAATGTCATGATTTATTTCGACTACATATTGTAAATCACTTTTTCGGGATTTCATGAGAATAATAGTGATGATGAAAACAACATGGATTATTCGAGTAAAAGACAAAATCCCGAAAAAATTGTTTAACAAATTGCTGCCGATTTACTCATGTTATTATAAATAATCCATTTATCAAAAAAATTCAAATTGTGGACATAATGATTTCTATATAAGTCTATGTTTTTATTGTCACAATTCTCATGGTCGTCAATTTGCGGCGTTACATATAATTTTTGTATAGCAAAAAATGTAAAAATATTTCTATATTTTCTCTTTAGTTGCCGAAAAAGCTGCTCAGTTGTCACTAGATGATTTAAGCTAATCTCAGTATGCTTATTACATACAATAACATAAGATATTTGTATGTATGTATTTTGAATATGTTTTCTATTTGATTAGCTGCGCCTAATACTATAAGCTTTTTTTGTGGTATATAACCTGCCTGTCTGTGTTTTTATATTAATTCGGTGACAACATCATCACCATCCCTAATTGGTGCCTGGAATGTGGAGCCCGTAAATTCAAACATCTAAAAATAAGAAAAAGAAGAAGAAAATACACCAAAATTAGTCACATCACCTAAGAATGTCAGCAAAAATTTACCGAAGGTACCCTGTTATTGCGTAAAGTGGCATAATCAGCAAAATCATTCATATGCGGATCCATACGGCCATGACTACTTGGTCCTCCGCCATTATTGGGATGTTGCTGTCCATTACCACCGCCCACCATACCACCAGAATTACCAACATGATTACGTGGCTGTATTGTGGCATATGTATTGTCAACAACATGCTGCTGTTCCATCGAACCACAATGGTCCATATGACCCTGTGGAAATATTCTTAACTAAGAACCAAAAAAACTAGGTAACGAAAATATTGCTCTACTTACTTGTATATCGGAATTGGAAATGTGATCGGGTTCCGAAAAGACTTGCATTGTCAATTCTTGTTCTTCATATAATTTTAATTTTCTGAAAGAAAAAAAAAATACATTTATATTTAATTTAAGTACAGGGTGAGATGAAAAAACTGCAATCAACTTCTGACTGCTGTCATTTCTAAGCCACTCGTTCGACTGCTGTTAAAATTATTCCTGTGACAGCTCATTATATTTGGTCTGTTCCAGAACCTGCAAGAATTTACTAGTTATGCAAATTTATCCGATATCATAAAGGGAAAATCGAGCTCGGTGTACAGCCATTGAAATTCCAAAAAATTGGAGATCTTACACCGCAACAGAAAGAAAATAGACTCAAAAGAGCTAAGGAGTTGCATCGCTTAGCCGAAAGTGGTAAACTGCGAATTTGGTTTTCTCCGATGAGAAAACATTCGTTGTCCAGCAGTTTGTAAACAAACAAAATGATCGTTTTACTTGCCAAAGAGGTGTGGCGGCCATAACTGCCGATGGTCGCTCTCCGCTCGTATTAATCGACCATGGCATCAGAATAAATGCTGAATATTATTGCGAAAATATTCTGGAGGGTGTATTAAAGCCTTGGGCACGCAAACATTTTGGCCGCAGATCTTGGACATTCCAACAGGACTCAGCCTCATCGCACTCAGCACGCGCCACCCAAGAATGTTGCGAAATGAGGTTCCTCGTTTCATTTCTAGGGCACAATGGCCACCAAAATCTCCGGATACCCATCAGTTGGACTATTGTGTATTTTGGAAAGCACGGTTGGCACTAAAAAATACCAAAGTGTCGATCACTTCAAGCAAGCGTTTCGCCGGGAATGGGCTAAAATACCGAACGGGCCGAAATATTCGGGCAGCGTGTGACGGTTCCATTGAAAGCCATAATTAGTGCCAAAGGTGACCAATTCAAACAAATCTAAACTTATTCTAAAATTTGATGCTATTTCCGACATTTTTGCTTTAATTGAAAAAATTAAAAAAATTTAAAAATTATGGCGTTTGAATTTTTTGCAGTTTTTTATCTCACCCTCTATTTAAAACAGGATTAACTAACCGCTGTGAAAACGGCTTAGTTGAAATTTTTTTTTTTATAATTTTTTGCAGTTTTCTTTATCTCACCCTGTATTTAAAACAGGGTTAACTAATCGCTGTGACAACGGCTTAATAGAAAAATAAACAAATTAACACTTACTGTTCAATCCACAGGGGATTCTCGGTTGTATTCAAATCTTCAATAATTTGTTTCTTTATGAGAGCCTCTTTGCGGCGATTTTCCGTTGGCACAGATAAATTCCTGGAAAATGGAAACAACAAATTAAATAACAACAAAAAACAAAGACATTTTTTCCAAACATACCAATGCTTTAGACAACAACATAAGACAATAAAACTAACAACACCCACAAAAAGCACAATTACCAATGCCACCAGACCGGCCACGGCCAAATCAAATTCCTCCTGGACAATGGTTATGTAGGCGGGAACGACATTTTCAATTGCAAACCCAGCATAGTAATCCTTCAAATAAACAACAAGACATTTGATAACATCTGGACACAGTAATCGCTCTCTCTCTCTCTCTCTCTCTCCCTCTCAGTAAAATTGACTTACCCGCAAATAATCATAGTTGGCATCAATGACTTTCAAAATCTCATCGACAGCTGATATTTGTTGAGTTTGTGGATCAACGGCATGGAAATACAGATCCGACCAATCCATGCGTATCCTACCCATGGAATCCACATGGAAACGTATTTCATCAACAATAATGCGATGTTGGGTGGCATTGCGCAATTCGGCCACAATTTCTTCCTGCTGTTGGTAGACCTCCTCGGGTGGTCGTGATAGTATAACACGCACCAATTGACTGTAGTCATATATCCAAACCTGCAAAGAATTGTTTTTAATTAATTTGTATTTATATTGAAGGCTTCCGGAAGACATACAATAACTTTGGTGCGAGCCACACGTTCCGGTTTCTCCATTTCCTTGGCCACAATTTCCAATTCAAAACGATCTTGATTATACTCGGCCACAAATGCTCCCGTCGTTACTCGGCCCTCGGGCGAAATGGCAAATGGACTTGGCACTATGGAACCCGTACTCTTGGTAGCTCCATATTTATAGAGATTTGAGGCAATAATCATATACTCAATATAGGCATTCTTTCCAGCATCGGCATCCGAAGCATTTACCGTACTAATAATAGTACCAATTGGAGATTTTGCATTTACGCCAGCATAATATATATCCGTTTCGAATATAGGTGGGTTATCGTTTTGATCTAGAACTGTGATGAGCACCTTAGCCACGGTATTATCACGATCTAATGTCTTGATGGAGAAAGAAGCACGTTCTTCATCTGATATGTGTAGGTCGCGTTTAATACTGGCCAATATGTAAAGGGTGTAGAAATCGGTGGTTTCTCTGTAAAAAAAAAATCAAAAGAATTATTTAAAAAAAAAAAAAAAGTTAAATAGCATCAGTCGGTTTTCCCTCCTTCTGTGGGGAGATACCAGAAGAAATGGGCCGATCACTATCATCTTTATAACTTTGGTAATATTTATGTTGATGGTAATATTGATATGTACCAAGTCTGAATAAAATTGGATGTTAATTTCGCGTTTTATGAGCTTCATGGATATTCAAAATTTTGACCCTTTGTGAGGGAGGTACATGATGGAGTTGACCGATATTGTCCATTTTCGCTCCTGGCCTAGCACTGATGCAAATATTAGGATTTGCAAAGTTGAAGCAAAATTGGATTATCCTTTCTCTTTCTGTACAGTAAATTATTTTCTTTCAATTTTTTTTGTGGGGGAGATAGGATAGTGGACCGATATAGAAGGAGTGGACCGATATTGCTCATCTCCGAAATAGATCTAAGTTTGATAAAAATACTACGATGTACAAAGTCAGGATGACATCGGATATTCCCTTCGAAAGTTATCGTCTCACCAATCAAAGTGGCAGACACTTCTAAATCGACTTCAAATGCTCTAAAATGGATTTCAATCAAAGGGTCTACAGATAAGCTCGTTTTGGCCCAAATGACATACACCCTACATAGCCCTATGGCTGAGGATATAAATATATGTATTTTATTTGTCTCCCCACTTACCTATCCAAGGTTTTATTTGTATAAATATCTCCCGTTGCCTTATCCACAGCAAAGGCTCCATCTTCATTGCCCAACAGCATATAGTAGTAGACATCCTTGTTGTGTTTGTTACGGGCTGTGGCCTGGATTTTACCAATCTTTATATTACGCTCATTATTTTCCATTATGGAAATCTTGTAGGGATTGCTGGCATCTGGGAATTCGGGACGATTTTCATTGGCATCAATAATACTGATGGTTAGGAAACGTAACGTTTCAAATGGCTTGGGATTGCCATTGTCTTGGGCGACCAAAATTAAATCATAGCTAACAAATAAAAGAAGAAAAAACAATATCATCAATTGAAAACACAAGTTATGGAAAAGAAAAAGCAACATACTTGGCCTTTTCCTTGCGCTGCAGATCACTGTTGGTCCTGAGTTCACCGGTTTCTGCATCAATTTTAAATTCCTCGGTTTCCTGGAGATTTTGATCTTTTACTTGCAAATGATAAAAGATTCTACCGTTTTCATCGGTATCATTGTCGGAGGCCTTGACCGTTAATATGAGATAATCCTTGGGCACAACCTCCTGTGAAGAAGAAATCACAAAAACAATGAAGTTTTTAATTAATTAATCCCATTTTTAAATCTTACCCCCGGTATTTCAATGGTGGCATTCGATGAAGCTGGTATCACAAAAACTGGACGATGTTGATTAACTCCCATCACATTTACAATGGCCTTGGTTGTGGCCTCCATGGTGCCCGAGCCTTGGGTATCTCTTGCCGATATTGTCAATTCATAGACTCCCTTCTGTCCATTAAGACTTCTGGCTGGATACAAAATACCAGTTTGAGCATCCAGGCGGAAGAGGCCCTCTTCATTGCCGGCAATGATAACATAACGAACATCACCAAATATGCCCTCATCCAAATCGAAAGCCTTGACTTGTAACACCGCTGCCGGGGGATTTAAAGCAGCATTTTCGGCCACAGTGGAGGTGTATTCGTTTTGGGTAAATTCCGGGGCATTGTCATTGACATCCAAAACATTTAAATATATCTGTGAATAACAAAATTTCGTTTGAGTCTTTATCCATCTCTAATTTGCCACACAACTTACCGCCGCTGAAGTCGATTTTTGAACTGTGGTCGGCGCCTTATCCTTTGCCACCGCCGTCAATGTCAACTGCTTTACTTTCTCTCGATCCAAAATTGAAGAATTCGACACCATTATATTGCCCGTGTACGAATCAATGGTAAAATACTTATTGTTCTCTCCTATCAGGGAATATGTCACCTCTCCGAAGGCTCCCAAATCCTTATCGAATGCTTCCACCTTCCCCGCCACTGTACCAATTGGGGAATTTTCCGTTATATTGAAATAATATTCATTTTGTGTAAACTGTGGTTCATTATCGTTAAGATTTATGATATCCACAATGACATCGGCCGTAGATGTCAACGGTGGCACACCTGTATCACTGACGGTGGCAATAAATTTCACCTCCTTTATTGTTTCATAATCCAAACGTTTGGTCAGTGTTACCACACCTGACGATTTGTTAATTTCGAAATAATCATTTTCCGAAATATCATATTCTCCAATCGTGGAATCTTCATCGTAGGCCTGTAGTGTTGTCAGGACTGTACCAACCGGTTGTTCTTCGACCATTTGAAGTTTGATTACTGGATTTTCGGGGGTCCAGGGTAAACTGAATTTCTGCCAAAAGAAAAGAGAAAAATGGAAAATGTTTATTTATCTCGGAAAACGCTTTGATCTTTTGGCTCTACATGTTTTGCAAGAATTTTTGATGACAAAATCTCTGTTGTTGTTAAGGGAGAAACCACTAGAACAGGAGAAATTTCAATATTTCAATCAATAGGTAGACCTTTTGGGCTTCTTTGATCAGGATTTCGGCCTACTTCGGTGTATGGCTTTTTCCCTATGATAATATCTTTTGAATATCGTTTAGTAGATTTTTTTCTACCATTAAGTCTAAGCCTTAAAGTCGTCTTATAATACATCTTTGGGGCGTCTAAGAAAACGATATTAGGGTTCCTGAGGATATTCTGACCTTTTCTCAATATTATTTGGTTTGTGTCTTCTTGGAAACAACCTTTTGGTTATTCCTGAAAAAACTCCTTCATTTTCTATGAAAAAATGTCCGTTCTCTGAAAAATCCCTCTTCCTTAAGCGATTTTTTTTGGCAATTTTCAAGAGTTTCTGAAGACATTTTACTCCTCGTTGAAAAGATTTTTCCCATTTTTGAAAGGTCCTTTGATATTCCAAAACTTAGAAATCTTTTTAGACAGACGTGGGGGGTCAAAATTGCCAAATTTTATAAATAATAATACCATATGGTCTTCTCTGATAAGCTCTCATCTACTATGAAAAGTAATCATGTATTTTTAAACTACACTGGAAAGGTTTCTGGTCTTACTGGGACTTTCCTTCTTTTGTAACATATTTTTATACCTTATCCCACTCAAAGTATTTTCGATTCAAATTTTACAATTATCTTGGAACCCAATAAAAAATTGTTGTTTAATTTTTTTTTTCGGCCATGAAATTGGAAAAATTGAAAATTTTATCGTTAAATCTTTTTGTGATTATGTTTAAGGCCACAACATTAAATCCCTATCGTTTGCAAAGAAATTTAGAGGAGGTATGTATTGAAGGGATATGAAGAAAATATCAATTCATTCCCAGAACTTCAATATCAAAAAGGTGGAAATTTATTTATCAAAACCCTGTGGCTCCTCATTCCATTTGTGTCATCACGTCTTGGTGTGGCTAGTTTCCCTGTTTCTTGTGTCTAAATTTCTGGCTGGTTACATGACATTGGCGGCTAATGTTATTGCCTTGTAAGTTGGAACAATTTTTGGGATTTTTTGGCATTTTGAGTAAATTTTGGGGTTTATTGTCTTTTAAGTTGGAAAAATTCTTGGTTAGTTTTCGGTTTGGTTTTAAAAAGGACAACAATCTTAGCTGTCAGATAGGATTGCTGCCCGGCCTTATCACTATCTTTAATATTGGATAAAATTTATTGCAGTTTTTTTCATATCAACCCTTTTGCTGTTATAGAATGAAAACAAAGGACTTGCAGGAATGCATTTTTTCTAATAATAATCCCCTCACTTCTGTAATCGTATGCAATTTCTTTATATGCAATTTCTAGGTTCCCCATATTAACAGAGGCCTTGCCACAACTCTTAATACCTCCCTTGTTGGCCCAAGCCTTTGATCACATACTTCTGAATTCCATTGAAGTTGTTTTGGGTTATTTGACGCTATATTACTTTGCACCCACAACGAACAGTAAGGTTAGCATATTGGTTATATTTCTAACGGCAATGACAATCAAAATTGTTATAGCCATTGGCACCTTGTAAGTATCTTATTTCAAATATTGCCAAATATAAAAATATTATTTTCTCCCCAGAAACATCTACTCCGATTTCTATCAACACCTTAAGAAGCCCATACATCGTGGCCATGAATCATTTGAGTCACTTCCAGATCATGAGTTTTTCATAAAAACAATTAAACTGAATTGAATTATGCAAATACATACCGGAGCAACTTCGTTGACATCGATAATTTGTATGATCAAAAGACCCATGCCTTGTTGGACAGTGGGTGCCGTACTATCGGTGACCAGTACATTTATTCTTATCACCTGGAATGGATATATATATATGATTATTGAAATATTTAAATTTTCTTGTGATAAAAACTCACCGCAAACAGATTTCGATTTAGCTTTTTATTGACCACAACTTTGCCGCTGCGGGTGATGGTAAAATATTCCTTGAATTGTTCACTGTTTTCAACTTCATTGCCGTCCTTGTCAACAGCGGTTATATTAACACCAGCAAATTCCAAGGCATCACGAGACGAGACATCAGGATCAATGGCTAGTAATGTGTAGAAAACGGTGCCAACAAGGGTATCCTCACGGACCTAAAATATTTTAGCAATATTTTCATATTTGAAAAATATAGAGTTCTTCTCACTCACCTCTGCATGCTGGGTGGCTGGCGTAAAATATGGATCCTTATCATTGCTATTCATGATATTTACTGTCAAGGTGGCTGTCCCTGATAGACTTGGTGTACCCATATCCATGGCAATGACTTCAATTTCATAGGTATTGCGTTTATCATAGTCCAGTTTCCGTGATACAAACACCTCGCCAGTGTTTTCATCAATTCGAAAATCATCAAAACTTCCCTGTTGTATGCGATATCTAAAAGATATGAAAAAGTTAGGGGTCTGTTCCTGTATAACGATACGAATGTGAATCGAAAGGAAAACACCAAGTTCACAATTTCAAAAACACGCAAGAAATGGGGGTTTTTCTTTCGAGTTCTCTATCGAATCCCCAAAAGCGATAAATCTTACTTCAGTTGGGCATTTATACCCGAATCCAAATCTTCAGCTTCTAGTTTTTCCACACTGCGACCAATTTCGGAATTTTCCTCAACCACAGCCTGATAGGTGTCGGATAGGAATCGTGGCTTATGATTGTTGACATCACGCACCGTCACATTAACCATACAATTTGCCGTGTAAAGGCCATCATTGGCTTCTACGGCAAATACAAGATTATCATTGTTTAAATGGGTAACATCTAAGGTGGCATTGGGGCGAATGGTAATTTGTCCCGATTCCTTATCAATGACAAATGTCTCCTGGATATGTTTGTCGCCAATGATGCTAAACAGAAAAAAACAGACAAAATTTATAAAAAGGTCTTGCTTGTAAATTAATCTAACTTACCTATATGTAATATCTGACACAGTATCCGCATCTCGAGCCTTTACAAACAGCGGAGCATCGAAGACATGCGAACCCTCATCCACAGAGGCCCGATAATGTGGACTTTCACAGATGGGCGGTGAATCATTGGCATCTGTCACCGAAATACGCAGGGATACAACAGTGTTTTGACCTCGACCTTCATCATCCCTGGCCTTTAATTAAAATTACAATTTTAAAGTAAAGAAAGTTATACTGCCTATCTTCCCACTTACATTGTAGGCCAAAAAGTATGTAGTTTCCGTTTCATAATCCAAACAAGTTTTGGGCGCTTCCACCTGATCTGGCATTAATTCATTGTTGACATCTACCATGACATCCGTGGCTGGTGGCTTGATTATTTTATACTCAAATGTGGCATCATTTTTAACTTCTTGTTCTTCTGCTGTTTCATCGCCATGATAGCTCATCAGATATTTTTCCAATTGCCGTTTACGTCTTTGATTTCCCGCCGGTGCTTTCTTGTGGCAATCGGCCAGGGTAATAACACCGGTTTTTTCATTGACGTCAAACAACTCGGCTCCATTGCCCGATAAACTATAACGTATGCCAGCATCTCCATAATTGCCAGAATCCAAATCCTTGGCCGTTATTGTGGTAATATATTGACCCGGCAATGCCGACTCGGATATTGAGGCTGAATAGGATTGTTCTTCAAACATGGGCTTATTATCGTTGACATCTAAAACCGATACGGTTATGGTTGCCGTGGAACTGAGTTTAGGATTTGTATCGGTCTCCTCTGCAATAACCAGGACAATAAATTTCCTTTGATTGGGATTTTCGTAGTCTAATGTGCCATTGGCCACTCTTATGTGAACTTGAGAAAAACCGGTTACGAATTTAGGTTCCACATCGAAAACATCCGAAACATCATCGAGACGTAGAGAAAATTTGGAATTAATGCCAACATCCCTGTCTGTTACATTCATATCCAATGCCAAGGGGGTGCCAGTTGCTGTATTCTCTGGCAGGGATACCTCGTACTCTTTGCGATTGAAGGTGGGTGGTGAATCATTTACATCGCGTATTGTAATGGTCACTGTGGTGGTACTGCTCTCCATGGGATCATTGCTTGGAGTGCCATTGACAACTTCTCTGGCTCGCACAATGAGTTTCATTATGCCAGAGCCGTCAGGTAAGGCTTCGCGATCCAAAGGTTTGGCGGTACGCAATTCCCCGGTATGTTCATCCAATAGGAAATAGTCCATGGGGTCTAAGGGGATAAACATGGTTACGAATGCTGTATTTAAAAAAAAAATATCAATTGAACCCACTTGTCACCAGATCATAGACTATTTTCCTTGGCTCTCCGGTATCACCATCCCTTGCTTGGATTTTCAAAACCAATGTATTTATGGGGGCATCTTCGTCAATGACATTTGATTTATATTCCAAAAATACCGGTGGTTTGTCTTGTATATCCTTGACTCGTACCTCAAAATGAGTTTGAGTTTGATGTACTCCATCCTAGAAAAGTCAATGAGAATTGATTTTCAGATTATTCTTGTTCTCATTTGGCATTTAGGAATACCTACCGTAGCCTCTATTATAAAATGATAAATAGTACGCTGATTGTAATTTAAAGCTTGATTCAATATGACATTGGCTGTAAGGACAGTTGGTTCACTTGTTACAACATCCAAATGGAATCTAAAACGGAAATGAAAAGGGAATCTTTAGAAAACAAAAGAAAAGGAAATGACTTTTTTTCAAAACATACTTTTCACAGGCATCAGGTGATTGTGTTTGGGCAATACATTTTATATCTAAGCTTTCTCCAACAATATCGCGATCTTTCACCAAAATATTACGGAATATTGTGGTGCCCACGGGAGTATCCTCAGAGACATCAACGCCATAGGGCGTCTATTTTAAGAAGAAGAGAAATATTAACATTTTGAAAAATACACCTAATTTATTTCCCCTTACATTAACAAACTCCGGTGCATTGTCATTCTCATCGGATATTATAAAGGTAACAGTTTCTTGTACAATATTATCCAATTCCGATTCCCTCTCTTCGCTTACTTGATCTCTCACGGTTATTAGAAATGTCAAACTATCCTTTTCCTCACGATCGAGTGGTTTGATTAAGGTAATATTTCCCGATATCGGATCCACTTCAAAATGCTCCGAACCAATGGAACCGAATGTAATATTGCTACCCTCTGGATCGGAACCTTCTAGTTTGTAGACCACTGTACCAACTGGTGTGCTTTCCGATAGAATAATATTGTTATCGACATGGCGGAATACGGGTGGAAAATTTGTTTCACCTGTAGGATAAAAAAACCAGACATTTATATCCAAGACTCTTATGCTCCGTAGAACACTTATACTTACATATGATCAAGACACTGTTTGCCAAAAGCAATAGCAAATATATCAGAGTGCGATTTTTGGGCATTTTGTTGTTGTTGGAGTCGTCATTTACACTTGATTATGTCTGTAAGGAAAGAAATGAAAATGTAAGGTGAATATTATTTTTCTAGATTCTAGGTCTTCGTAAAGCCATCTAAAATATGTTCAACACATCTTCTTGTGATAAATGAATGTCACACCGTACCTAACGCATGGCAAACCCAACTCAGTGGGCCATTAGCATTTCTAATTGTATTTCTAGCTGTAATTAAGTGTCATGTCCCATTTTCCAGAAATGTAGAACGACATTAACTTTTTAAATGTTTTTTGTGTTAATGACATATGCGAAAAACAACAAACGTTTGAAGATCATCCAGCCATTGCTACACTTTTTATTGAAAGAAATGATTATAAGCATTCATTCCGTTGTTTCAGTTACAATGAGCCTGGGGAAATTAGGTTGATAGGTTGAGATAATGAGTTTCTTAAAGTAAAGCAAATTCCAAATGTTTTTTTTAATCCAAAACCTTTGATACGTGTCTATATTAACATTGTGGACCCAAAATATACAGTCTTGATTAGAGTAAAATTCTAAGAGAATATCAAAAAGTTTTAGTCGAGGTTCTCACAGATATATTCCCTCAGCATTTCACAAGTTATTTATATATACATAATCTTTTTGGGGACGTGCAATCAATTCAAGCTCCATTAATCCGTGAAAATTTCGAAGATAATTCGGCCAACACTATCTTGGAAGAGAACAAGGTCTCTTAACTCTAATTAGAAACCTGGCCTTAAAATTGTGGAGTGGAATCATAACTTCCATGTGTTACAGCGACAACACTGCCCACTGCAAGCTGTACCCAATAGTTTTCTATGTAAGACTTACCTATTGGAGAAGGAATTGCCTATAATATATTCTCCTTCTCTGAAAATGGAATATTTTTTACTTTTGCTCCAAGATTAACAAAAATATTGAAGTGTACCGAGTTTGAAGGCAGATCACAAATATTGTCCATTTTCACACCTGACCCATCTAAGTTCTAGTAAATATTACGATGTGCCAAGTTTGAATAATATCTCCCTCATTTTTTTCCCCTCATTTTTTTCATTGGACCAATACTGCCCAAATATTACAATTTGAACATTTTGAACCAGCCATGCCATCGAATACAAATATTCTAAAGAAGTTTTCTTTTAAAGATACCTAGGGTCTAGACCCGTTATTTCAATGAAGCCATCAGGATATAAATATTTCTACCCATGTAACTCATGTTTAGAAGTAGTCCGTTGTGTTCTTAGTTGGGTGCGGATGTTTTAGCCGTTTTTTTTTTTTTTTTTAATTTCGTCACTTGATTATTTTAGGATCTCGGAAAGTTCAAATATTTCCTTTACATTTTTTTCTATTCAAAAAAGTGCAACGCAATCGAATTGTCGAAATGCTAACACAAATAAGAACCCTATTAATTTGAAAAAAAAATTAAAGCCTTAAGTACAAACAGACAATCATCGCTCACTTCTCCTCGAAGGCTGACTCTGGAGATACGAAGATTGCAACCCAATTCGAAAAGATCTTCAGTTATACAAAAAGCTTACGCTGAGAGACATTGCCCTCTGTGTAGAGGAGAATCCCAGTGATAAAATTTATGAAGGAACAAGGACTTCTTAACAAAAAAAATGGATGGATTTGACGGCCTTTGAAAAAATTGTGAGGTGGAGTTGTACGGAGTTCCATTAAGATGTTAATGGTCTTAATTTTAATGCTCTGAAGTGGGTAGCTCCAACCCGAAGAATCATTATATAGATTTCTAGGTGTCTTTGGACGAATTCCATTCCAGGATATTTGGAATCGAGCTGTCTGTCGATCTGTGTGCACGACAACTTAAGATATAGGTATAATATGGATATGGAACTTATCAGTCTACTCCTTCTAATACCTCGCCCTCGGTAAACATTTTGAATAATTGGACCTCTCATAATATGCGAACCAAGTTAGTGATTTTCTTCAAATGTCAATATTTTTGCCAACCATTGCTATTATGTGAGAATAGATATATCGGTCCACTTCTTTTTGCAACCTAATAATCGTGCGGTATATTTGTGCGCATTCGTGGATCTAGACGTCGCATCTTTGAACTTGACCTGCATAGGTGTCAAATTCAAAACATATATCGTAATTAGTTAGTTCATCATAAATTGAGGAGAAAAAGAAGAATAACTGCTGGTTCTGTTGGAGTTGGACAGTGGCAAAGTAGGTGCTCTACCGTTACAAACTTTTCTCGACTTGACAAAGCCAGCAGTACTCAGTACCGTCGTCACCCGATTTGAAAGTCATGATCTTTATGTAACAGTGACCTGTGATTTCTTATTAAGGGCTGATTTGCAATGGTTATGAGCGACCTTGACCTCTTTTTAGAGATAACCGGCCAAATTTTCTTAGATACATTGCACCCCCATTCCATTTAGCCAGTTCTGTTGAAATATCTCAGAGTTACTTAAAAGAAGTGGCACAATAGTGACTTTGGCAATGATTCTTGCAAGAATCCTCTACTTGGCGTCTGGAAATAGAATAGAAATCTCGTATTCTACTTTAATTCAAAACGTTGCAAACGGCATGACAAAGTCGATACACTTTCCATACTATTGTAGAGGGTATACAAATTGACATTTTAAGTTGTACACTTAATAGTTATTGGATAGCCAAGTTTGGCAAGTCAATTTAACTAAATGACAGCTAATTATGTTACGTATACCGAATATTTCAAAGTTCGTAACGCTTTGCAAAAAAATAAATATATTTAGTTAGGGGGGGAAATTGACCCCGATAGAGTTGGTTCACCACTGTCATCCAAAATTCGTTTGTGTGAAACACATTATTATATAGATTTCTGCAATCCATTGGAAAAAACCTATCATTATTTGCTGCAGCTCATTCAACATTCGTAACGATAATTATACCCGCCACCTTTGTCATTCCGTTTGTAACATTCCTAAATATTTGTCGTTGACCCCACCCCATAAAGTATATAAATTCATAATCAGCATAAAATTCAAAGTCGGTTTAACGATGTCCGTCTGTCTGTGTCTAGGATTGTTGGTATTGAAAATGAGATATATCGGTCTACGTTTTTGTATAGCCCCCATATAACGGTACCTCCCGATATTCGGTATTTTGATTATTTTCGCCACATTTTTTCACGGATTTGTCTAAAAAATGGTATTTGTAGTTTGCAATGGGTTCTAGCTCCGTTGGCGGAACACAGTATATATAGGTTCAAGTTTTGGTATAGCCCCCATATAACGGTATATTCTGTATTTTAAAGATTTTTGCCACATTGCCACCGACTTGTTAAAAAATTGGTATTTATAGTTTGCAATGGGTTCTAACTCCGGTGGCAGAACATTGAATATTTAGTACTACATTTTCCTATAGCACACATATAACGATACCCGCCGTTATTTGGTATTTTAATAATCCTAGTCACATTTACCCACGATATTGTTCAGATACTTTTATAAAAAATGTTTTCTTTACCCAAAGGTGGAGAGAACAGGGTGAGATGAAAAAACTGCAACCAACTTCAGACTGCAGCCATTTCTAAGCCACTCGTCCAACAGCTGTTAAAAATATTCCAGTGATAGCTCATTATATTGTTCACAATCGTACAAAGGCATTTTGTTGAGAATTTTTCAGAAAAAAAGTTATTCGTGATGGAATTCAAGCGTGATAGTGTGATTTCTTTATATTTGGCTGGAAAACCACAAGTGGCTATCGTTAGAGCACTCCAGCATTTAAATGTCGATAAATCTTTTGTGTCTCGTACCATCGCTCCATACCGTGATACTGGTAGCGTAGCTCGACATCAAGAAAGTGGACGGAAGAAAACAGCAACATCACCAGAAATGATTCGAAACGTAAAGAAGCGACTTGATCTAAACCCGAGTCGCAGTGGCCGAAAAATGGCTCGTGAGCTGAACATATCGCAATATTGCATTCGGAAATATAGAAAAATGAGCTCGGGGTTAAGCCATTGAAATTCCAAAAAGTGCAAGAACTTACACTGCAACAGAAAGAAAATAGACTCAAAAGAGCTAAATAGTTGCTTCGCTTGGCCGAAAGTCGTGAATTGTCGAATTTGGTTTTCTCCGATGAGAAAACATTCGTTGTCCAGCAGTTTGTAAACCAACAAAATGATCGTGTTTACTTGCCAAAGAGGTCAGCTGGAAATGTGCACCTTCGGTTAGCCACCAGAACTCCAGCGCCGGCCTTGGTAATGGTGTGGGCCGCCATAACAGCCGATGGTCGCTCTCCACTCATATTAATCGACCGTGGCAAAAAATAATTACGAATATTATCGCGAAAATATTCTGGAGGGTGTATTAAAGCCTTGGGCACGCAAATATTTTGGCTGCAGGCCTTGGACATTCCAACAGGACTCAGCATCATCGCACTTAGCACGCGCCACCCAAGAATGGTTTCAAAATGAGGTTCCTCGCTTCATTTCCAGCGCACAATGGCCACCAAAAAATCTCCGGATACCATTCCGTTGGACTATTGTGTCTGGAGTATTTTGGAATGCAAGGTTGGCACTAAAAAGTACCAAAAGTGTCAAGATCACCTCAAGCAAGCGCTTTGCCGGGAATGGGCCAAAATACCGCAGAGCAACATTCGGGCAGCGTGTGACGGTTTCATTGGCCGTTTGAAGGCCATAATTTGTGAAAAAGGTGGACAAATCTAAACTTTTTCTAAAATTTGATGCTATTTCTGACATTTTTTGCTTTCACTCAATACAATTAAAAAAAATGCCGTTTGACTTTGTTGCAGTTTTTTTATCTCACCCTGTAAATGACAGCTAATTATGTTACGTATACTACATATTTTGAACATTTCATAGTTCGTAATGGTTTGCCAAAAAAAAATTATTTAAAGAGGAAAATTGCACCCCAATAAACCAAACTCCATTGATCATCTAATAATGATATTTTGTTGTGGTTTAGTTCAGCACTGTCATACGAAATTCGGCTGTGTGAAACACATAATTATAAATTTCTGCTATCCACTCGAAAAGAAAAAACCTATCATCATTTGCTGCAGCTCATGCAACATTTGTAGCGATAATTTAGTTTTTAAAACCAACATTTCCCCCGCCCCGCTCGCAAAGTGTGACGACATTCGATACATTGTCATTATCGCAACAATTATATGATTTAAGTCAATGTTATGTTATCCCAGAAAACAGTTACTTGGCGTCCGTCTGGATCTTTTTTTCCGCATCAAGAAGACGAAATCCAATTGATGATAACCAACTGGATTTTCATAGGTAAGGCAGTAACAAGAAAGATTTTAAACCCCAACTAGCTACGGATAACTAGCCAAGAGTATGGTACACCCTATCAGATATATGGATGGTGATGAAGTTGCCGAACTGGTATTGGTATTTGAAGTGTGTGACTGACTAACTGAATGCATTTTGTCTGGTTTTTCTCTGGCAAAGTTATGTAAAATGGCATTTATGTTTACCTTTTTTCCCCGAATCTCGTCGTCGTTGTCGCTTTTTGCTGTTTAGCTTGTTAAGACCTAAACAGTTATATATTTCTGGTTGGATTTGGGACAAACAATTAGAGAACAATTGCACAATTAGAAAATCTTTTCATTAGAAAAAAAAATAAAACGAGAATTATACAATTTCTTTTTTCGTTGGTTGGTCGGTCGTTTGTTTGCTCGTTCGTTTACTCAATCACTTAATAAAATGAAGATCATTGTTTAGAAATTCTTTTGTGAATCTTTTCACGGTTCGTAACTCTTTTTTTTTTTTGTAAATTTTTTACTTGTCTTTTCCTGTGTTGTTGTTGTTTGTGGTATTTGAAATTTGGGGTAGCTGTTAATTAAAAACAAAAGAAGTACGTTTTTTTCACATGCACATGCGGATGTGGTAGATGACAGACACAAAAAAGAACAGACACCCAGAATCACAATCTTTTCACTTAGATTCTTATTTCGTTGATTTTTTTCTTTATTTTTTGCTTTCAACTTCACCACACAACCACCTAACGTTAGCTGCTGTCTTAAGTCTTTTTGAGATACTTAAGAGATACTTGTTGTTGTTGTTGCTATTGTATTGGACGATTTTGAATTTTTGGTCTTACGGTGTTGGTATAAAATTAAAACCCGTTTTTTAAAGCCCAACCGAACCGAACCGTACATACAGCAAATGTTTAAGCGCTTATTCCACAATTCCCCGGGTTACTTGTTGTTAGCGGTTGGCGAGCGTAGAGACAACTAAACTTGAGCACTGAAAAGCCAAACAAACAGAGCGTCTGAGCTCTGAGTATCAGCCAGCCAGTTAGCTGTCTGGGTCTGGTCGATAATAATGATGACTGGGCTGGCTGCTCATTGCGGTGTTGTTTGTGGAGCTTGGGCTAACCCATCAAAGAATTGTCTTGCAAGATACAAAAAAAAAGAAGCCAAAAGAAAAACAGAATTAGAGAATAATAGACTAGCGGCATTTGATGTCTTTACTCAGTTCTGACGGCTATTCGTCGTCGGCTATGCGTGTGGTGTTCTTTTTGCTTGGCATTTTAAATGAACATTTTCTTCTCATCACCAAAATCATATCATATCACATCATATTTTGAAATAAAGAAGATGAGATGCTAAGCCACATACGTATGTACATATTTATAATTTTCGCAATATGTATTTGTGGCAGCAGGTGAATACTGCGAATATTTCTCCAACTTGTTGGCTTGTATTGTAAAATGCTTTCTCGCACAGAGTTGGTGGAATGGCATAGTTTTTTTTTTTTTTTTTGTGTGTTTTGTAAACTTTTGTGATTTAAACACGTTTCAACGTGTTTCAATTCATGGCCAAAACAAAAACCTCCCCAATGCAAAAAAACGCAGACACACTCACCCATTGGGAACGTAATAATTCAATAGCAACAAAAGATATTAGTTGCGAATTATGACATTTTAATATTACCCTATAGTATGCTATGCATAAATAAGCTATGACGAAAGAATCGTTGGAGGGTTCGATGGTACCCTAAACTACTCAAGAAGTCTGGAATATCGTGGTGGCTCAAATTAAAAAAAAAAAAAACAAGAGAAAAAGTATCAATTGGTTTTGCGGACAGCTGTATACCCCCAGCCAATGTTCGATTATTTAAAAATATTTTGAATATTGTTTTAATTATACAAACTGTTGACCCTCTACAGGGTGAGATAAAAAACTGCAACAAAGTTAAACGCCATAATTTTTATATTTTTTTAATTTCAATGAATGAAAGCAAAAAATGTATGAAATGGCATCAAATTTTAGAATAAGTTTAGATTTGTTCGAATTGGTCACCTCTGGCACGAATTATGGCCTTCAAAGGGCCAATGAAACCATCATACGCTGCCCGAATGTTACTCTAAGGTATTTTGGCCCATTTCCGGCGCAGCACCTGCTTGAGGTGATCGTACTTTGGTATTTTTTAGTGCCAACCTTGCTTTCCAAAATACTCCAGACACAATAGTCCAACGGATTGGTATCCGGAGATTTTGGTGGTCATTGTGAGCTGGAAATGAAGCGAGGAACCTCATTTTGTAACCATTCCTGGGTGGCGCGTGCTCAGTGCGATGGTGCTGAGTCCTGTTGGAATTTCCAAGGTCTGCGGCCAAAATGTTTGCGTGCCCAAGGCTTTTATACACCATCCAGAATATTTTCGCGATAATATTCGGCATTTATTCTGATGCCACGGTCGATTAATACGAGCGGAGAGCGACCATCGTCTGTTATGACGGCCCACACTATCACCATGGCCGGCGCTTGAGTACTGGTGGCCAACCGAAGGTACAAATTTTCAGCTGACCTCTTTGGCAAGTAAAACGATTATTTTATTTGTTTACAAACTGCTGGACAACGAATGTTTTCTTTTCGGAGAAAACCAAATTCGGCAGTACACCTCTTTCGGCCAAGCGGAGCAACTCTTTAGCTCTTTTGAGTCTATTTTCTTTCTGTTGCGGTGTAAGTTCTTGCACTTTTTGAATTTCAATGACTTTACCCCGAGCTCATTTTTCAATATTTGCCGAATGGAATATTGCGATATGTTCAGCTCAAGAGACATTTTTTGCCACTGCGACTCGGGTTTCGATCAAGTCGCTTCTTTACTAACCATTTCTGTTGATGTTGCTGTTTTCTTCCGTCCACTTCTTTGACATCGGGTTACGCTACCAGTATCACAGTGACGAGCGACGGTACGAGACACAAAAGATTTATTCACATTTTAATGTTGGAGTGCTCTAACGATATCCACTTGCGTTTTTCCAGCCAAATACAAAGAAATCACGCTATCGGGATTCCATCACCAATAACTCTTTTTGGAGAATTCTCATAAAATGCTTTTGTACGCTAGTAAACTATATAATGAACTGTCACTAGAATAATTTTAATAGCTGTCGGACGAGTGACTTAGAAATGACAGCAGTCTGAAGTTGGTTGCAGTTTTTTCATCTCACCCTTTATATCCGCTCTAGCCAAATGGCTGAGGGTATAAAAAAGTGTTAACTCCCCGATTTTGGTCCGCTTAAAAGATCCCAAAGTCGCACCTGCATATCAGTCTGACTCAAATCTTTCATAAGTTATGATCCTCAGGTTGTGACCCACAAGAGTGGTGATAAAACCAACCGACTTTATCCCTTTTGGTAACATCATATACCCAGAGCTAATCCTGTTGCTTCTACTTTTTAGCATGTCGTTCAGAATTTTAGGGACTATCATGGCAACGACCATAAGTTCCATAATTAAGTCCAATCCCTTACCAGGTTCAAAAACTACACCATCCTCTTGCCAGATTTTAGGGGGTTTTTAAGCAAGCTTTTGAACATCCTGTTAACGTGGACGAAATTAAGCGGCAGTAAATCTGTCATGACCCGATCCCACTGTTTTATGGGCTTTCAAATATTTGAACATTTGAAGAGTAGGCCGATTTAAGAAAAAATATAAAATACCTAACTTTATTTCAAGGGACCAGTAATAAACCTTGGGATATGAAATTTCTCCAAGGCATAGAATAACATAGCAGGTAGAACTGTCTCGACTCTGAAATAGTTAGCTACCTATAAAAATTCATTGTTTATATCGACCATCATGAATGATAATAATGATGATGATGATCATGATGTTGAATGGCGTTGTCTGTCAGTGGCGATGCCTATAAATATGATTTCATCAATTTGCTCGTTTGTCAACGTTAATTAAATAAAGAGGTAATAGAGGTCACATCCATCACACAGCTGCCGCAAAAACAAAAACAAATAAACCATATTGTTTGCAACGCCATGGCAAACAAATGTGCAGTGGAAAGTAGCGATGACCATAAACAAAACTGGAAAATTTTTCATATAATTTTTTTTTAAAAATTTAAAAAAATATTTTCAATACCTAGAATTTCACTTTCATTTTAAATACCCATCTCACACAGATGCTCCCACAATGTATTGTGTATTAGTTTATATTTCATGCACAAAAGATTTCTCTTTTTTTGTTTATAATTAAAAGGTCGGTCTGCATATTTCCATATTTTAGTAAGGAAAAAAAATCAGCCATCCAAGCAAGATTGGTGTTCTGTTGTCTCTCGAGATGTTGTGGGAATGCTTGCTTGCTGCTTTTCCTCCATTAACATATACAGTGGAACAGGGTTATAATATTTTCGTATGATCTGTATATTTTGTTATCTATAGCCGATGTGGTGAAAATATGACCATCTCCATGAACACTATTCCACAGGTTGGGTCAATAAAAAAATTGTTCATTATAACAGGTATTCACTTTAACCTAGTTTGACTGTAAACAAAAAAACAAACACACACAAACAACACGGTATATATACTTCTGGTTATTGTTGTTGCTACTTTGTATATATTTACAACAAAAACAATAAACATTCGTCAGACTATGAAGCAACAGCATCTTCATCAATGAAATCTTTCATTCCCATTTCACTTGTTTTAGGCACTTTTTCCACACTATTTTCACTTACATTTTTATGGTTTCTTTGATTAATTGCTGTTTTTAATATTATTAACAAAGAAATAAGAAAACTTTACTAGAATACAAACAATTTTTGTAAAACAAACTAAACCACCAACACAATTATTAGTAAATGCAACTGAATGTAAACATATAGGACTGTTAGTGTCATCAACATCATTTTTATCGGTTATCGTGTAAACGTTATCGATGTAATCGGTCGATAATATCCACATGAAAATAATAGATGTGTTTGATATTTCCTTTATTTCTAGCATGTAAATGAAAATGTATGTTTTTATACCCTCCACCATTCTATGGAGGGTATATTAACTTTGTCATTCGGTTTGTAACTCATCGAAATATTTATAATAGACCCTACAAAGTATATATATTGTGGATCGGGGTAAAATTCTAAGACGTTCTAGCGATGTCCGTCTGTCTATTGTGATCATGCTATCTTTCGAACGAATAGAGATAGAAGGCTACAATTTTGTATACATGCATTGTTTACCAGTAGGCATCTTTAATTCGTAAATGGGCCATGTCGGTCCACGTTTTCGTATAGCCCCCATATAACTTCGTAATGGGTACTACACTGACAAACATTTTTGTATGCAGGTCCAAGTTTTCGTATAGCCCCATATATTGGCACCTCTCCATATTCGGTATTTTCATGATTTTAGCGACGTTATTTACCGGAATTATTTCAAATTTCGTATTTAAAGTTCCACCATATGTACCACCATTCACAGTTACATTACGATTCGCAACATCTTTGAAGAAGTGAGGTGCAATGATGCCACCAGTCCATAAAATCCACTAAATTTTAACTATTTCTGGATGCATGGCTTCCTTTGCAATGCCTCCGGCTGATCTTCACGGGAAAATCGTCAATTCTGCTTTTATACATTCCCACTGAGCCAAAAAGGCGCTTCGTCGCTGAACACAATGCGCCATTAATTTTCTAAATAGAACACACACTTTGATAATAAAATTAAACTATTTGTAAAACGATTTCACAGTAAAACAAAACGTGAGTGTGCTGTTTAAACATGTGTTGCCTATGTTCCCTCCATATGTCCAGACTACCAAATTTCAGATTTCAAGCAATATCTATTCACGCAATACCAAATTATACCCAATATAGTAGTTTTGTTCTTTTAGTACACATTTCCAAAACCACCTTCATATGTCAAACTAACTTTTCAACCGTGATTCTTATACCGAACGTGAATATTCACACTATATAGGGTCTCCAATAAATATTTCAAGGTGTTGCAATAATTGTATCCTCCTACTTATAGTGGAGGATATAATTATCAATCCCATTAGAGATGTCAAAATAAACAATTGTGTCCTATGTAATTAGACCATATTTCGTACACGAATTGGGCTTTAGGAAATTGGTCATTGTTTTCGTGTGTCCCCAATTAGGTTAGGTCATCAAGTTGCCTTGCAAAAACAAAAACTTGTAGTAGGTACTTACTGTTGCATATTTTTGCTTCATTTATTAAAACCTAAATAAAATGTAAGTTGTTGTATTTACCAATATACTAATACATATTGATTTATTAGATTAGATGCGTCGTACATACAATATGTACCTATTACAAGATGAGATGCATATGTGTTGTATCCCAAGGGAATGCCAAGTGTCTATAATAATAAATATTTTTAAATCGTCGTACGTCATTTCAATCTTAAAAAAATTGCAATACATCTCTAAAATGATTTACGAAATTTACTTGGCTTACTTTTTTCAGGAGTTTCCTTCAATGTTGTAGATGCTGCTGATACGCTTACATTTTTTTTCTTCTTTAAATTATGTCTTTAAAAACTATTGCTTAAAATTAGCTACTTAAACGAGAGATGAATTTACTGCTCTTCCATAGTTTGATCTCCGGCATCCGCATCGCCGTCTTCACCTTCACACTGGTCATCACCAGCCTCCTCGCCACCTTCGGCATTATCGTCATCGCCTTCTTTGGCATTTTCATCTTTATTTTCTTCTGCCGCTTCACCATCCTTCTTAATTCCTACTTTGTCATATTTCTCTGACAGAAGAACATCAAATTTAGTCTTACGCAATGCTGTTCCATATTTTTCGTTGAAGGTTTGCAAACGCTTCAATGACATGCGCAGCAAAACAATATCCCTGTCGGTCAGAGATTCAACATCGGTGTTATTGGATTCGTATCTGAAAATGAGTCTATTTGCGGATCGCATGCCATCCCTTTCTTTCTTGGTCATTTTGGCGAGTGCAGGATCTAGTTTGGTTGCTGCAGCTGCGGGCTTTGTAGTCGCTGCTGCTTTTTTAGCCGCTCCTGGCTTGTTAGTTGTGGCTTTTCCAGCTGCACCAGGCTTGGGCTTACCACCAACACCTGGTTTTCCTGTATAGGGAACAAGCTGCTTAGATTTGTCGACACCACCTGTAATCTTTTTGATGGCAGTTTTCAAATCGATCAATTCCTTGACCACCAAGCTAGAGTGTAGAGCCAGGAGTTTGGCTTCCGACATTTCAATACCGGCATCCAACAAGGAACGCATCTTTCTCTTGGCCGCTCCGGATAGTCTAAAATCAAATGGATAGTTCTTTTTTGCTTCCTTTATGAGTTGTGTCTTTTTACGCTCAAAAGCGGCCAAGGCAGCACCTGTGACTTTTTTAACAGGACCGGCCGAGGCCCTAGCTGCTCCCTCCTTGAGGGTCTTTTCATATTCATCAATAATGGCCTTATTTTTGGCAAGAGAATTCTTCTCACTCACCGTCAACTTTGCCTGAGGGATAAGACTTAATTTCTGTACCAAGCCCGAGGCGGATTTATAACGTTGCATCTTCTGCAACTCTTCGATGGCCCATTTTTTGCCCAACTTTCTTTGGAAGCGTAAATTGCTTTCATAGTCCTGTATGATTTGAGTGTGGAATTGCAGATTTTTCAAATCACGTGGTGTACTGATGCCACGGGTTATTTTCGCCTCAATTTTCTTGCGAATAATGACGGATTTCATGTAGGTATCACGATCGACAACATTGCGCACTGGTTTTGTTTGTGGACCCTATGGTAGGCGAAATCAAAAGCATTAGTTTCTTGAATATGATGTGGAATGAGGTGATTTTTTTTCAATTGCAAACATTTCGAATTGATTGTGGGTGCGATTAAAAATAATTCAAGTTTATTTCCATGGTATAGCTTTACAATGCTTCAATTCGAAAAGTTTTCAGAATTTTCAATTTCTAAATTTTTAAACAATTGAGGTGTTAATGTTGTGTCCAATAAATATTAGTATTTAAATAATTACTCTGGGAGTCGTTTGGGACTCTTTTTTGAAGCTATCTTAACTTATATCTAGGATTTAATTTCAATTCATGTGTTAATGAAATATTTATATGGTATCATCCATTTATTCTAGTTTGTGCATATCCCACTTTTATGATATGGGATTCTTTCAACGCTGTGGATTTAAAATTCAAATTTCTACATTCCATCTCTTTCGTCCACAACAGGAAATATTTTTTTGCTGGACCCAGAACAGATTTCCCAATGTAAAGATCAAAAATGAATTAAGACCAAAACGAAATCGTTAACATATTCAGTATGGCTTCTTAGATACACACCGATGAATCTACCTTTAAGGGGTAGAATTTTAATTTAAGACAGTGGAAAAAGTCGGTGCTGCTCTATGGATTGTCATGATGCATAATTCAAGAAATTGTGCATTTTTGAATCGACAATTGAGACTGTGAGAATATTAAATACACACAAAGTTCGTCTAGTGAAACTTCTTCGCATATACCTGATATATGTGGTATATCATTGTCTCATCAACATATGTTTTCTCCTCCTGCATCCTTCATTTAAAAGCATTTTAGGTACTCCTCAGTTTTGATTTAGGGAATATTTTCTTTCCATTATGCATCAAAAGTCGGATCCCAATAATGCTTAGTTCCAAATCAAGATATCACATTTTTTAAAATATTGCATGTTTCTTTGTTTTAGAACTCGGGTGCCGCTCCCTCTTGATTATGACAAATTTGAAATATTTTGTTTTCGGGTGGATTCGTTTTAAATGAAAATGATAGAGAATATGGTTGTTTTTTCAACACTCCTCTTCCTCAGCTTACTTACACATTGCTGTGTCATTTGTTGCCACAGTTGAAAAACTGAGGATTTCTCGGAAAACCGCTCTACACCCCAAACTATTCCAATGGAGGATTTTCCCTGAAAAGTTCAGGTAAATGAGCGAGCACAATGAATGAGTTATTCTGATGAATTTTCTTCAGTGCATCTCAAGAATTTACAGGAATTGCACACAATTCAAATTGTATTGTCCTGCAGTAGGTATGAAGCCACAAATTAGATTTTAATTACCAGCAATAACTAGCTGTAAATCGTCATAGCCTTTATGATATTTATGGTTGTAACACATCAACCTTGGTCATATTTTATTTTTGTTCTCTATATATGGGAAATGTTCTATCCCCAGCAATTGCAGGGTGAGATGAAAAAACTGCAACCAGCTATCGTTAAAGCACTCCAGCATTTAAATGTGAATAAATCTTTTGTATCTCGTACCATCGCTCGTTACCGTAATAGTGGTAGCGTAGCCCGACGTCAAGGAAGTGGGCGGAAGAAAACAGCAACATTAGCAGAAATGATTCGAAAAGTAAAGAAGCGACTTGATCGAAACCCGCGTCGCAGTGGCCGAAAAAATGGCTCGTGAGCTGAACATATCGCAATATTCCATTCGGCAAATATTGAAAAATGAGCTCGGGGTAAGGCCATTAAAATTCCAAAAAGTGCAAGAATTTACACCGCAACAGAAAGAAAGTAGACTCAAAAGAGCTAAGGAGTTGCTTTGCTTGGACGAAGGTGGTGAACAGCCGAATTTGGTTCGTTGTCCAGCAGTTTGTAAACTTGCCAAAGAGGTTAGCTGAAAATGTGCACCTTCGGTTGGCCACCAGAACTAAAGCGCCGGCCATGGTGATGGTTTGGGCCGCCATAACAGCCGATGGTCCCTCTACGCTCGTTTTAATCGACCGTGGCATCAGAATAAATGCCGAAGATCGTCGCAAAAGTTTTCTGGAGGGTGTATTAAAGCCTTGGGCACGCAAACATTTTGGCCGCAGATCTTGGACATTCCAACAGGGCTCAGCACGCCCCAGCCAAGAATGGACCAAATACCGCAAAGCGGTTTCATTGGCCGCATGAAGGCAATAATTCTTGCCAAAGGTGACCAATTCAAACAAATCTAAACATATTCTTAAATTTGAAGCTATTCACATTTTTTGCTTTCATTAAAAAAAATTTAAAAAAAAAATTATGGCGTTTGGCCTTGTTGCAGTTTTTTTTTTATCTCACCCTGTAGTTCCAATTTTTCTTAGAAAATGGCAACAATTATAATACCATTGCAAAAAGGTACATTTTCACAGCAATTGATATATCATTTTGAAGATGTTATTTAAATGAATAGTGGAATACAAACCCACGATTGGGTACACAAACATCAACAAGGATTTTAGAAACAAACTGCATGCACCCCTTGTACACAGAAAAAGGGGTTTCTTTTTTTGGATACAGAAACAAACAAAACAAGTCGTAAAAGTGGAAGAAAATCCATTCAACTACTGTTTTTTTTTTGTGTTATGATAATGTACAGTTTCACGGAACTGGGAACTGTACAATATACATACAATACAAACTAAAATGTTACATTTTTTTTTGGTTTACCATCAAATAAATTTTTATGTTTTAATTACCATATTGCCGCCGGGCATTCCCGGGTTGGGAATAAAATTATTTCCTCCATTGTTCCATCCACCATTATTGAAGTTGTTGCCCTGCATTGGGAAGGGCATGCCTCCACCACCACCACCATTGTTTACACCGTTGTTGTTCCAAGACGAGGGGCCATTATTACTATTGAAGTTACCCCAATTGGAGTTTTGGTATGAATCTTGATTGGAGTTCCAATTTTGATTGTTACCCCAATTTTGATTGCCACCATTCCAATTCTGATTTCCATTACCATTGAAATTGTCATTGAAATTATTTGGACCACCAAAATTATTCAAGTTATTGCTGGATGATGGACCACCAACTTGATTTTGGTTGAAATAATCGCAGTTACTGTTGAAGCCTTGATTATTTCGACTTTGCATATTGGTAACGAAATCAAGAGCCTTTTCTCTGGCTACTTGCGGATTGAAACCCTCGCTGATGAAGCGTTGATAAACAATGCGACAAGCTTGGGTGAAATCTAAATTGTCCAAAGGACCGCCTGAACCACCGCTACTAATATTACTATTGCTGTTGTAATTATTTCCGCGGTTATTGTCAAAGTTGGATGATGACACATTGTTGGACCATGATGGTGCTGATGGTGGTAGGTTTGTTTGCCTTGAACTGTTGTTCCTAACCTCAAAGGGACCCGAATAATCGTCCGACATTGGTTTCAGTTGTACTGTATAACCATTATAGTTATAACCGTTTCTTGCCCGTATAAGATTTAGTGCATTTCTGGAGGGAATATCATGTTTAATTTATTCGATTTTTTGTTGTCTGTGAATGGCACATTTTGCACGCGCCTCGCTTGGCTTTCTCTTACCTTGTATTCTCGTACTCTACACACGCCATGGTGAAGTTGCCTTGGTTCTTCACATCGACGTATAGAAGACGGCCAAAGGGACTGCAAAAATCATCAATATTTCTGATAGTTGTACCTGGTGGCAAGTTTCCAATTAAAACGCGACTCATTTTGTAGTTTTTTTCCAAATTAAAATTCTATTAAGCAGCAAGAAATACGACCGGCACAATTCACACTTATGAAAGCAGCAAAATTTTTCTCTACACTGAACTCGAATGGCGTCGTGAGTTCGTATACGAATTCTGACAAATCGTAATGGCGTCGATAGCTCTGTCGATTTTCACAAATCGATATGCTCGTTATCGATGAAAACAATCATTCACAATAAGTAACTGACGTCGACTTGAATTCAATGGCGCTCAAGGCCATTACTCAGACCAATGCCTACCTTGGTAAAATAATTGAGAAAGTGGCATCGACACAGCTCCTGGGAAAACCAATTTTGGCACTGAAATGTTTGAATGAAAAATTATTGAAAAATATTTTTATCCAAAATTTATGTCAGAAAATATATTCCAGAAACTTTAAGATTCTGCTAGTTTTGCAGTTCTGGAAAAGAGTAAATAACGAAAAAAAAAACTATAATGTAAACGAAAATTTCTGAAAACAAATTAGTTTGTATAAATGCCTGAGACAAGTTCAAAAGAGAAAAAAAGGCAAGTTTTTGGCGGCAATTCTTTGTTTGTGAGAGAGAGGAGAAATGGAAATGGAAAAAATTAAGGGCTAAGTACATAAGAAGCTTGAAGTCATGGCACGGCCTATTTTGTGACATTTCACAAAGGAATTACAGAGCCGCACTAAAATCCTGCCGTCGTTTTTCATTATAATTTGGCATTAATATGCCTAGCCATGACTTCAAGCTTTATATGTATTTGCAGCCTTACTCGGGCTTGCATTTCCATTTTAATTTTTTGTTTTTATACATAAATATATTTTAAAATGAGAAAAAGGGCAATGATGAAAAAGAAAGTTAGTAAATTTGCATATTTTTATCTTAATTGTGTTAGTTGATAAAAGCCCAAATCACGACTTTTAGATCCCTTGTTTGCAGTCGATCCTCTTCCAATCTTTAAATCCTTAGCTGCATCCATGGTAGAAGAATATAGGTAGACGCTTCGACACAGCTGCTGTGACATTGAACTGTCAAACCAATTTTGGAATCGAAATTGTTGAATGAAAAAATACTCAAATTTGTAAATATTGTTAAAAAATGCATATTATAACAACCTCCGATTGGCGTCGTGTGGGAAAACATACACAAATATACATATTTTTGAAGAAATATTTAAAAATTTCTGACATATTAATGTTCCCAAGCGTTAATGCATCTACCTGTATTTTTCTACCATGGCTGCAACCTAGTTTTTTGTTTTGATTACTGAGTTTTATTGTTCATTTCCTGTATCTTTACATTTGTTTTTATACATAAATATAATTTAAAATAAAAAAAAGGCAATGAAGAAAAAGAAAATTTGTGAATTTGCATATATTCATCTAAATTGTGCTAGTCGATAAGAGAGCAATTCTCGACTTTTAGATCCCTTGTTTGCAGTCGACCCTCTTCCAATCTTTAGATCCCTTGCTACAACCTAGTTTTTTGTTTTGATTACTGAGGTTTATTGTTCATTCCCCATATATCTTAACATTCGTATCTCGAGTTGCCATATCGATGGTAAAAATTGAAAGAAAAGAGAAAGAAAACCAACAAAAAGACGCTTGGAAAATATTTTGTTTATAAACAAAAATCCAAAAAATATTAAAAAATGTGCAAAAATCATTAAAAACATTCTTCATAACATAATGTTTGATAGAAGAATATGTTTGATGTGGGCAATTGAAAAGTGCAAAGATCCAAACATACAATGCAACATCCAAGATTGCAGGACTCGAGGTAGACAAGCTTAAATGTTGAAATATTTAGTTGGAAAAAATAAAACATCAAAATCAAACAAAAATGACAAATATTAAAAGTGTCAATTTTTATGATCTATGTCGCGTCTGTACGACGACAACAACAAATACAGGGAAGATTGAGATATTTTCCGCCGAAGGAAAATCCAAAAACATGAATTGCAAATTAGCGGAATGTTTGTCTTTAAATGTAAGTTGCTGACTATCATCCATGTAGCAACGTTGTTTAATAAATTCCCTTTTCCTTTAGGTCGAGGAATCGGATCGTTTGCCAAAGGTCGTGTGTCAAAAATGTTTGCAAACACTGGAAAACTTTACGGAGTTTCGAAATCTATGTAAAAATTCTCAAATGATGTTGAACTCATGCCTTGATTCATCACAGAATGGTGCAAAAGTTGTGGTGAAGGAATCAGTGGGAAAAAGTGGTGGTGGGCTTCAGACACCATCAACAGTGACGTTGGCGCCATCACACGCACAACAAATGCCTGTATTTACTCTACAAGGTTCGAATTTAGTGGCCCAAGCAATGCCAACCAACAATGTATCACATCAAAATCAGGATTTTCTTAATTCCATAATGCAGGCTGTTGGAATACAGGTACATGTTCGATGATAAAAATAAATACTGCTAAACCCTTTCAATTCCTAATTTGCTTGCCCCACTTTTACAGAGTGAAAAGCCTGCCGTACCCCAATATACCATTACGTTGGATAATTCTGCACAGCAACAGACATTAAATCAACAGTTACAACAACAAATGACTAATCAAGCTGCAGCTGCTGCTGCAGCTGAAAAGGAGAAGGAGGCAAAGAACAAGTAAGTCTTCTTCTTTAATCGTTGGGGATTTTTTTGAGCATGTTTTTTTATTTTCAGTGCTCTGGAAGAGTTTTTAAAGCTTAAACCCAATATTAAGGTGACACCAATTGGAAAGAAAAATCCACAGCAGCAGCAGCAGCAGCAAGTTCAAGCCCAACAAGAACAAATTATTCAACAGCAGCAAATTCAACAACAGCAGCAACAGCAACAAATTCAACAACAGCACCAGCAACAACAACAACAAGAGCAATTGGTACAACTTCAGCTGCAACAGTTACAACAGCAACTACAGTTGCTAACATCCCAACTGCAACCGCAACAAATTACTATTTCAGCTCCATCCATTGCAAACCTCCCGCAGCCCCATTTAACACAGCAAACCAATGCAATAATGTCCTCCACAATGGATGGCAGCACACTATCCAATTCGGACAGTGAAGACTCAAGTCCGTCGAAAAATAAGAAACCCAAGCTCAATTTTGTTTTTACAACACCGCCAAACAATAACAACAACAACAATACCACACCCACTGCTACCCTCTCAACTCCCATGCCGCAACTAACAACTTCCCTAAATACTCATAACCCAGGTCTGGGACCACAAATACAATTTCAGCTACAGCCCACTTTGGCACCCCAGGCAATATTGCAAGGTGGTCAACCCAATGCTGCTGCTACATTACTCTCGAATTTGGCACCACTTTTACAACCGCAGACACAATTGAATCCTGCGGCCGCCTTGCAGGCACAATCATTGGCCAATGTTGGACAAAATTCCTCTTCGAATATGTTGTTGCCCATCACCATTAAGGATGAAAACACCGATCAACAATTTGTGGCTCATATTGATGCCAAGAATTTCATCTTGCCCACAACATATCAATTGCAAATGAAGGTTGGTACGATCTCGAAGTTTAAAATTCTATTATTCATATTTTCCACATTTTAGCTTCAGCCACAGATATCCGGACAACCAATAATGCAACTGGCACCAACCATTCAGTTAGCCCCCAATCAGACATTCCAAACAGCAGCAAATATGGCGACATTAAATAATACCCCCTCCGGTTTAGGTTTTAACTCAGCCACCTCATTGCAGATTACTCCAGCCACAACACAATTGCAACAAAGCCCCGTAGCCGTATCGAAGCCAGAACCAACAGCCCCACAACAGAGTCAAACATTTAAACAACCAGCCCCAGTGACAGCAAAAAATATTCAAATAACATCACAGCAAATCATCAATCCATCCGTAAAAAAGGAAGTCCCAAATCAAGAAGAAGATAAGCCAAAGAAATCTTCATTGCCCTTGGATCAGGATCAGGGAAGTCGTCAAAAATATAAAATATCCCAAGCTGCCGGTGCCAATACCATTGAAATAACACCGAACACCAGTTTTACACAACAAATCATGCAACAAGTGCAACAGCAACAACAGCAAAAACAAAAACTGCAACAGCAAACCGCAAGTTCAACTCTCACAACACAACATGGTGGCATAACTGTGCAGCGCATAACTACAAAAGCGTCCAATCAAAACATTGTCCCAAGTTCCCCCAGTGAAAGTGAAACAAACACGCCGACCAAAAAATCCATGCCCGCAAATTTACCAACATTGCCGATTTTGAACAAAAACAATATTACCATAAGTCGTGTAACGAACACACAGCCGAATCAAACACAGCATCAAAATCAAATCAATAAAGCAGCAGCAACAAATCGCAGTCCAGTGGCCAAGCTGCCAGCTGGATCTGCAACAAATACTGGACTAAAAGTTGTGACTCAACAATCCAAAAATCACACACAAGCAATAACGGTAACTCAAGCTGGCCCAAAGCCATCTCAGCCGCAATCTCAGCCATTGTTAACACAAAAATCTCAAGTCATTGGTACCATACCCAAGACAACATTAAATGCCTCGCCACCAAAGAAATTCGTAAAGAAAGTGATGAACAACAGCAACACCACCACCACCACGGTGGCAGAACAAAAACCTGCAACAACAGATCAAGGTACTTCTTCATCCACATCTGTCTCAACATATATGCCATCTCAGCAGCAACAGCAGCATACAACGATAACTGGTGTTGATACGAATACAAGTGCTCCTGGCCCCGCCAATAATATTGAATGTTCCCAATGTGGTCGTGTTTTTAAGAAAAAAGAACATTTGACTCAACATCTCAAGTTGCACACGGGCATACGACCGTTCAAATGCAGCGAAGAGGGCTGTCCTAAGGCATTCAATCGCAAAGAACATTTGCTGCGCCATCTGGTATCGCATTCGGGCAAGAAAATGTTTAGCTGTGATATTTGCCAGAAACCTTTCTCACGCAAGGATAACCTGAGTAAACACAAGAGGTAAGTAGAGCCATAATGGCCTATGAATTTAGAACATGTTGTTACAAAAAATTATGTAATGTAAAAATTCTTTAGAAGAAAGTACGTTTTCTTATATTGCGACGGTGCGACAGAATTCAACTTTTTCGATAATTACAAGGTAAACTCCAGCAGATTATGGAAGTAGAGCTAAAAATGGGAGAGACCTGTTTCGGCGTTTTAAAAGTTTACAAAACAAGTTAACTTAAATAGAGAAGGCAAATTCTCCTACCTTTTCTACATTTTTGTATTAAGATGGCAATGAAACTGTCCTGCTCTTTCAAGGAAAAGACTACGGGATATTCCATTTATACCCGTTTGTAACATTCCGAAATATTCGTCGTAGACCCCATAAAGTATATATATATTCATAATCAGCATAAAATTCTAAATCGATTTAACTTTGTCCGTCTGTCTGTTTGTCCGTCGAAATCAGGATACAGCCAACATTATTTGACGTACAGCTTAAAATTTGGCATAACAATTTGTATTGTGTCTAGGATGATTGGTATTGAAAATGAGATATATCGGTCCACGTTTTCGTATAGCCCGATGTTATGGTATTTCCCGATATTCGGTATTTTGATGTTTTTTGCCACATTTTTCCACGGATTTGTCTAAAAATTGGTATTTGTAGGTCATAATGGGTTCTAGCTTCGCTAGCGCTACATTCTATGTTAGGTCTACGTTTTTGTATAGCCTCCATATAACGGTACCTCTCAAAATTCGGTATTTTGATAATTTTGGCCAAATTTTACCACGGATATGTCGGATATTGGTATTGTAGTTCGCAATGGGTTCTAGCTCCGGTGGCATTTGTAGGTCATAATGGCTTCTAGCTTCGCTAGCGCTACATTCTATGTTAGGTCCGCGTTTTTGTATAGCCCCCATATAACGGTACCTCCCAAAATTCGGTATTTTGATAATTTTGGCCAAATTTTTCCACGGATATGTCCAAAAATTGATATTGTAGTTCGCAATGGATTCTAGCTTCGGTGGCGGGACATAGTATATATAAGTCCACGTTTTTCTAAAACTCACATATAACAATACCCACCGATATTCGGGATTTTGATGATTTTTGCCACATTTTTTCACGGATTTATCCAAAAATTGGTATTTGTAGTTCGCAAAGAGTTCTAGGTCCACGTTTTCCTAAAGCGCACATATAACGATTCCCACCGATATTTGGTATTTGGATAATCCTATTCACATTTACCCACAAAATTGGTTTAAATTTGGTATTTAAGAAGATTTGGTATATGACAATCCTTGAAGTATAAAATTGTCTATAGATGTTCCCGTTTGGGTATATATAACAGCCTCACACACTTTATGGTTTTTCGAAAATTTGACAGCGTTATCCAAATGGTCTTACTGGTATTTGTAGTTTAAACCAAAATACGTTTGAATTCAATACTTTTATATAAAAATGTTTTCTTTACCCAAAGGTGAAGCATATTAAAAGTTCCGTCCGACTTAATGTTTTTAACTTTTATCAAAAATTTGGCAAGATTTTTCATGTAATTATTTTTTGAGTTGATCAGTTTAATTATTAGTATTATTATTATGGAACTGCTAAAAAAACTACAAATTATTCTCTATTTCCAGAATTCATACAGACGACAATGCCAGTAATTTTGTTTGTGAAATATGTAACAAGAGTTTTGTTGTCAAATCGTATTATACCCAGCATAAAATGTTGCACAAAACAAATGCCATACCCGATGATGGTGATGAGGAAGAGGAGGTAAGATATATATTTCCTTGATTTTTATGGGAAATAATTATTCATTTATATTTTTTCCATTTCTTAAAGGACAAACATTCTGAGAATATTGCAGAACAAAATACCAACAATAACAGAGAATCTCTCAATCAAAATGAGCAACAGAATCAGCAGCAGCACCAACCGCCAGCCTCAACTAATCCCCAATTGACGACGACAACAATATCTCAGCAACCACAGCAACAAACTCTGCATTTGGTTCCACAAATAATGCATATGGTTACAACGCAGGACATGTCCGGCGGCAGTACAATAACAATACAAGCCGCCAATGATCCAAATTCAAGTGCCACACTAAAGGAACACGATGCTACTGTCCTTAACCTGCCCACCTCTTTGGCGAATTTTGTGCAATTGTCACAGGCTCAATTTGTCAATGCATCGACTGGACAAATAATGGGACATTTAAAAATTGAGAAATGAGTCGTCCATGGAACAGTATATAAAATAAAATGGAATCTCAATCAAATCCATGTTTGTTTATATTTGAGGAGTTTGTTTTTTTTTTTTTTTTGCAACTCATCTGCAATTATGTATATTTTTAAATTATTTTGTTTATTTTGTTTTTAATTATGTACAAATATGTGTTTTTATATATATAGGTGTGTCTGTCTTTATCTATGTGTTTTGTGTATGCCAGATTTGAATTGTTTCAAACATGTTTGCCACTTATAATTTGGAACATTGTTTAGAATATCAATTGCAATTTTAAATTCAGGTCAATCCGTAAATGTGAGAAAAACATATATTTAATATTTTTAATTTGTATAGAGGTTTGGAATCCAATAAGGAAATGAAAATGGAATAAGTATTCAACACTATTGCTTGAACCAAAATCTAATTAGTTCCAAACTTTTTCAATATTCTTGTAAATGTAAATTTTTAAAACAAATAGGTACATACCTTTTTTATTAAGAATATAATCTATCCATAGTGTTGTGTATCAATAATATGTCATACATTAATTAAATATTTGTTCTATTCATTATTACTTTTTTTATACAATATTTATTAAATAAATATGTTTTGACATCGTATTTCACCCCTTGATTTGTTAAGCAAGTGTAAATATTAATTTGTATCTGTAAAAATACAATTTAAGCATAAGCATTTATTAGAATTAATAATTGCCATTAATTATATGTAAGTCTTAATACATAGAATATGCATATAAATATTATTATTATTAAACAAAAAAACAAACACACATATTTTACTAATTGCGAAAGCAATAAAAAGTTTAATAAATACAGAGTGGAAATATTTTCAAAAAATGAACAATGTGTTTTTTCTTTTAATTTTTATACGGAGAGCATATTAAATTTATCATTTAATTTGTTAGATTATGTTAAAGAACACTTGGATGCCTTAGAGATATCGCTCCACTTGGAGACTTCAGAGTCTACTCTACAGTCCTTTCTAAGATTTAAAAATATTTAGAATATCACAGAAGACCCCAGCACATATCTCACATTCACACCTGTTTGCCTGCCTTCTATATGAAAACTTAATTGACATAGGGGAAGTAGGATTTCTAGTGCGGTCTGTGAAATGCACCGGTGATCAACAGTGATGCAGCTCTTTGAACTTTATTAATGCCCCGTCTGTAGGATGACATACATAAAGAGTGCTCCCAAACTAGAACTCCATACATGGTACAAGAATAAAGGTAGATTCATCAACGCTTGGGACCATTCGTCAAAACATGTCAAAATTTTTAACATGTTTTTCAAAAATAAGTTTTCTTACACGACACCATTGAAGGTTGTTATTATATTCATTTTTCAACAATTTTTAACAATTAGAACAATTTTACAAATTTAGACCCTAGGTCTCTTTAGACCAAATCCGTTTCAGAACATTTGAAGTCGATCTAGCGATGTCCGTCCGTGCGACCGTCTGTCTGGCTGGCTGGTGCGTACGATAACTCTCGAAAGGAGTATTCGATTTAATCCAAACTTGGTACATCGTAATATTATTGTCAAACTTAAATCGAGATCGGAGATGGGCAATATCGGTTAACTGCTTCTAGTACCTCCACCACAAATTGTCAAAATTTTCAAAGAAAATAATTTACTGTATAGAAAAAAGTATAATCCGATTTTGCTCCAACGTTGCATATCCTAATATTTGCATTAGTGCTAGGTCAGATGCGAAAATGGACAATATCGGTCCACTTCATCCAGTACCTCCCCCACAAAGGGTTACAATTTTGAATAATTAAAACCCTTTTAAAATGTGATGTAAGATTGTCTTCAATCTACACACATCCCAATATTTTTATTAACCCGTTGTCTGGCGTGAAGATGGAATATATCAATCCATTCCTTCTGGATCCTTCTTCAAATTTCACATACCCCATTATTTCTACTAACACAAGACCTGCTGTGAAGATGGAATTTATCGGTCCACTTCTTCTGTTACCTGCCCCACAAAGGGTCAAAATTTTGAATATCAATGAAACTCATAAAATGCGGAATCAACATCCAATTCCATTTAGACTTGGCACATCTGAATATTTACATCAAAACGAGATCTGTTATAAATATGGTAGAGATCAGACCATTCCTTCTGGTACCTCCCCCTCAAAGGGTCAAAGTTTTGAATAACCAAAATGATCATAAAAAGTAAAATAAGCATCCAACTCTCTTCAAATTTCACGCGTGCCTCTACTGTTTCTAATGCAAGATCTGCTGTGAAAGTGTGATATATCGGGGCATTCCTTCTGGTACCACCCCTACAGAGGGTCGACATTTTGAATAACCAAAACGATCATAAAACTTAAAATAAGCATCCAACTACCTTCAAATTTCACACATGCCATTACTTTTTTCTAATGCAAGATCTGCTGTGAAAGTGTGATATATCGGTGCATTCCTTCTGGTACCTGTCCTACAAAGGGCCAAACTTTTGAATATCAATGAAGCTCATAAAACGCAAAATTAACATCCAATTCCGTTCAGACTTGGCACATCTCAATATTTCCATCAACACAAGATCTGATCTATTTCGTGTGGTACCTCCCCTACAGAGGGTCAAAATTTTGAATAACTAAAACGATCATAAAACGTGAAATAAGCATCCAACTCTCTTCAAATTTCACACATCCAAACAGTTTTTCTAACGCAAGATCTGTTGCGAAGATGATGGATATCTGCCAACCTCATGCTGGTACCTCACCCACTTGTTATATTTAAATATTACTCTTAACTAGAAATATGATGCGAATATGGAATATGGATTTTATCGAAATTTATGATTTCGCATAAAATTGGATATAAATTTTCGATTTTTTTAAATTTTGCCAATATTAATATTTTTATCTGCATTAGATGAAGTATGAATATGTAATACTCCGGTCCGCTATATCTGTTGCCTCACTCATATTTCCACATTTTCCAAAGATTTGCACATATCTCATACAAAGTATAGGAAGTAGTTGATATAGTCCAAATCTGGCACGTTGTAATATTTATATATTAGTCTTAGGTCAGATACGAATTGGTCAATATTGGTCAACTGCTTCGGAACCTCCCCCATAAAGGGTCAACAGTGTGAATAATCATAACTCAAGGCTGGGGGTTTACATCTGCCGGCAAAACCGACTGATACTGTTTAACTTGTTTTTTCAAAGTTAAATCACTGGAAGGAGAAGAAGAAGAAGGGCTTTAAGTGATTGCAAGAAGAAATTTGTCCAACATGAATTTGCAATCACTCGGTGCAAGAACTGTCAACATTTCTCTCTCTCGAATCTCTCTATTTTGTAAAACTTCTCTCTTAACAGGCGACTTGCAGTAACAATTTGCAATGTCTTGTCTGCACTGGGCTTTGGAAAAGTTACCCTTGCAGCATGAGAAATTATAGGAATATATGAATTTCATTTTAAATCCATTTTCTCTGGATTTGCATTAAATGTTTGATAATTTTATTTTTTGACTCATCATTATCATCATCGTCATATGGGTTCTCCACTTTTAAGCGAAAAAGACCGCACAAGAGAAATGAAAACGTTTAAATTACCTCTAAATATTTCAAAATGTTGTTTCAATATCATCATCTTAATTCGTCTAGTTTATTATAAACAAACTTTGATTTTTTTCAGTTTCAACGAATTCAATTGATTTATGTTAGTTTGAATTCGAAGGAAATCTCTTCACATGAATGCTAGCAATATTTATTTTCTTTTTTTTTTTTTGCAAATGTTTTCAAATACGTGTCTAAATCAAAGAAAGAATGCAAAACAGTCAGATAATACAGTCCAACATAGTTGGAATGCAAGGTGGATAGTGTTGGTGGTATTCTGATGAAATGCTGAGATTATAAAGAGAGAAGAATCGGGCGAACGTAAATTTTCTTCAATGGAACTCAATTTTTCTTTGGTGAATTTTTGTGGGTGGGAATTTTTAATAAGAATAACCACAAATTAAGAAGAAAACTTCCACTTCCATTGAAAAATATATATGGTGAACCATTAAAAAGTATTTTAGATAAATTTAAAATAATAGCCAATGGCAGCGACGTTTTACATCTGTCGATTTTTCGACCATAACCATGTTTGACTGTATTTTATTCGTTAAAATCGTAAACTATTTCTGTGTGATTTTTCACACTCTTCGAAATTCCTACGAATGGCCAGAAAAACATAAAACATTTGTTTAATATTGAGAACGTGTAAATAGTAAGACGCGAAATATTCAATTATTACAAATTATTGAAATGTCATAGAGGCGTATTTGTATAAATAAATTACAAAAAAGAAAAAAAAAAAGAAACTTAAAATGTTTTTCACACCCAATTCTGAAAACAATGAAAATGCCGTATTAATAATATGCGGCAGCTGTGGGGGCATAGTTTGTTAGAATGAAACTTTTACATCGAGTCGATATTTTACATACGAACGATATACGAAAGATATCCTACATACGATCTTCTAACGTCACTCTAACCTGTCCCAATGTTACATGGCTAATTGGTAATCGGGGCCAAATTCGTGGAATAACAAGTAAGAAAGCAGTTAAATTTGGACGGGCCGAACTTTATATAGCGTCCACTATTTGGAAGAATCTTGAACAATTTCAAAAAAGGCCGTCGAAAAATACCACTCAAATGAAAACCGTTAAAGTAACAGTTCCGAACTTTAAATACGAAATTTGAAACAATTCCGGTGAATAATATCCCAAAAATCATGAGAATACCGAATATCTGGGGATAACGCTATATGAGCGCTATACCAAAACGTGGAGCTATGTAGACAAATCTAGGGGGTAAAGTACTCAGAAAGAACCTCTTGTGTGGATTTTAAGACAATTCCGTTGAAAAATGTGACTAAAATCAACAAAATACCGAATATCGATGGGTAACGTTATATGGGGGCTATACAATATCGTGAACATATAAAGACATTTCTCTTCTAGGGGATAAAGTACTCGGAATCCTAACTGTGGATTATCAGACATTTCCGTTGAAAAATGTGAATAAAATCATCAAAATACCGAATATCGAGGGATAACGTTATATGGGGTCTATACGATATCGTGGACCGATATAGTCCATATTCGAACTTTACCTGCCTGCAGACAAAAGACAGATCTCTGCAAAACTTTAGCTTCCTATTTTTAATTCGTTTTAATGTTGCATTGTCTGAAAATTCACAAAAGGAGTCCCTTCTGAGTACTTTACCCCCTGGAAGGGTATTGTCTACCCAGGTCCAAGATATCGTATATCCCCCAAATAACGATACCTCCCTATATTCGGTATTTTGATGATTTTAGCTACATTTTTCAATGGAATTGTCTAAAAATTCACACTAGAAGTACTTTCTAAGCACTCTACCCCTGGAAGAGTATTGTCTATAAGGTCCACGATATCGTATAGCCCACATATTCGATATTTCGACGATTTTAGGGACATTATTCATTGGAGTTTTTTTTAAAATTTCGTATTTTGAATTCCTAATGGGAGCTACAGTCTATGACAAAAAATTGCCCATGCAGGCCCTGGTTTTCGTATAGGCCTCATATATCAGTACCTCCCAATATTCCGTATTTTGATGATATTAGCGGCATTATTCAGAGTTGTTTCAAATTTCGTACATAGATTTCGTAATGGGAACTACGGCATATGACAAAAAATTGCGTATGCAGGTCCAGGTCTTCGTATAGTCCCGATATAACGGTACCCCCAATATTCGATATTTTGATGATTTTAGCGACATTTTCAACGGAATGCTTTTACATTTCGTATTTAGAGTTCGTAATAAAAACTGCAGCCTATGACAAAAAATTGCGCATGCAGGTCAAGGTCTCCCTATATTCGGTATTTTGATAATTTTAGGTACAATATTCACAGAAATTGTTTGAAATTTCGTATTTGAAGTTCCTTATAGGTACTACAACCTATGACAGAAAATTGCCTATGTTGGTTGCGTATAGTCCCGATATAATGGTACCTCTCCATATTCGGTATTTTGACGATTTTAGCTACATTATTCACCGGATTTTTTTCAAATTTCATATTTGAATATTGTAGTGGCTTATGACAAAATTTGCCTAAGCAGGCCCACGCATAGACCCCAATATAACGGATATATTTAGTATTTTTAAGATTTTAACAACATTTTTAACGGATTTTATTTATTTATTTTTTTTTTTGAAAATTTCCAAATCCGTGCCAAATGTTGGAGGCCATTCAAAGTTCAGAGTTAATTCTTTTGGTCGTAATACTTCTCTGTAACATGCCTGTAAATTTTAATTAAAAAAATCGAAAATTATGTACTGAAAAATGATTTTAAAAAAATTTGTATTTGAATAATACCTTTAGGCTTCTTCCCACACGTGAAATGCCATGCCATGAGCAAATTGCCTTATTATTCCAACACGCCTCTCGCTCGCTCGTGTGGTCAACACAAATTTGCAAATAATTTTTTTATGGCCGAAATATGAAAAAATAACACCTGTTTTGGTAGAAAATAGCAAAATGTTCGAATTTTATGTGATTTGTATAATAATTTTTATACACTCCCACTGCACAAGAAGAAACAATAACAACAACAATAATTTCTGAAATTATTTAATAAAAAAATCCCAATTTTATTTCGATGACTAACGTGCAATGTCTGTCAAAAAAAATGATCTCGTCCGTCATGTTGTCTCAGTGGGAAAACATTTAAGTTAACACCTTTCCCAAAAAAAAATTAATATTCCGGCGAACAGTATTTGACTATTAATCGATAGAAGTCCATTAATATTCCGCACGAAATTTTCGCGGAGATGGTGCGTACAAAATTGCAAGTACATTCCATGGGCATGAATGAATCTGCAAAATGCGAAAAAAAACATGTTGAGATGATTCAACATTTTTTTCCGTTTGTCTAGTGTGATGATGGTAAAATTATTCATAGGAAGAAATTTGAAAAAAAAATCAGTTTCTGAAACAGAGTTCCTTTGTAATTCAGGATTAAAAATCGGGAAAATGTTTGTTTTAAATCTATGACTACGATTTAGTCAGTTGATATTTTTAAAAAGCTCGATTAAGACTCGTAAAATTTAAAAAAAAAAACTCGAAAAAATATTCCTAACAATATTTTGAAATAATCCACGAATACATTTATTCTTAAAAATTCACAATAATAGCTCCAATTTTTTTCTGAAAAATCCACGATCTGAACAAGTAAAAAGCAGTAAGTTCGGTTGGAGACCTGGACCTACACAGAAAATTTCCTCTCACAGGCTGTGGTACCTATTAGGAAATTCAAATACGAAATTTGAAACAATTTCGGTGAAAATTGTACCTTACATCGTCAAAGTATCGAATATAGGGAGGAACGGATATATGAGACATATACGAAGACCTTGACCTGTATAGACAATTTTCTGTCATAGACTGTAGTTCACATTACAAACTCTATAAATGAAATTTAAAACAACTCCGGTAAATAATGTCCCTAAAATCATCAAAATATCGAATATCGGGTGGTACCCTTTTATTGGGCTATACGATATCGTGAACCTATATAGTCATTTCTCTTTCAGGGGGTAAAGTGCTTAGAAAGAACTTTTGGTATGAATTTTTAGACACTCCCATTAAAAAATGTAACTGAAATCATCAAAATACAAAATATTTGGAGGTATCGTTATTCGTATATGGGGGATATACGATATCGTGGACCTATCTACACAATATTCTTGAAAGGGTTAAAGAACTCAGAAGAAACTCCTTTTGTGGATTTTCAGACAATTTCATTGAAATATTTGGCTAAGATCATCAAAATATCGAATATCGTGGGGAGGGGTTCCCTGGTATGGGGGATATACGATATCGTAGAGCTATATAGAAAATTCTCTTCCAAGGGAAATCTCAAAATTCTTAAAAGGAAATCCTTGTGTTAATCTTCGGACAATTCCATTGAAAAAATTGGCTAAAATTTTAAAAAATATCGAATATCGGGGGGTACCGTTGTATGGGGGCTATACGATATCATAGACCTAAAGAGCTTAGAAAGAACTTCGAGTATGGACTTGTAGATAATTCCATTGAAAAATGTAGCTGAAATTACCAAAATAGCGAATATAGAGAGGTACCGTTATATCGGGACCATACGATATCGTGGATCTTTCTATAGACAATACTCTTGCAATGGGTGAAATACTGAGAAGGAACTCCTTTTGTGGATTGTCAGATAATTTGATAGAAAAAATTGGCTACAATCATCAAAATATCGAATAATGGGGGGGGGGATGAGGTGTTGGTGTACCGTTATATTAGGTGTACAATATCGTGGACCGATATACCGTCGTATCTTTATTCGTTTTGACTCTAGCGTGATTACAACAGACGGACGGATAGGTCTAAATCGTCTTAGAATTTTACGCAGGTCAAGAATATGGATCCACGACATCGTATAGCCTCCATAAAATGGTGAATCCCGATATTCGCTATTTTAATGATTTTAACCTTATTTTTCAATGCCATTGTCTGAAATTCTACACAAGGAGTTCTCTGTGAGTACTTAACCCTTTGGAAGATAATTGTCTATATAGGTCCACGTATAGTCCCCATACAGTGGTGCCCCAAATTTTTCAATGGAATAGTCTTAAAATCCCAACAAGGAGTTCCCTCTGAGTACTTTACCCCCTGAAAGAGAATTATCTATATAGGTCGACGTTTTAGTATAGCACCCATATAACAGTACCCCAAAATATTCGGTATTTCCATGATTTTCACGACATTATTCACAGGAATTGTGTCAAATATCGTAGTTGGAGTTCGTAATGATTACCACAACCTATGACGGAAAATTGCCTATGCAGGTCCACGTCTTAGTATAGCCCCCCCTACAACGGTATTTTGATAATATTAGCGACATAATTCACCGGAAATCTTGCGGTGAATTTCGTATTTGAAGTTTGGAAATGGTACTACAGCCTATGACAAAAATTACTTATCCAGCACCATGTCTCACATAGTCCCCATATAAAGATTTTCATTTGAGCGATATTTTTCAACCGATTTTTTTTTTGAAATTTTTTAAGTTTCTTCCGAATGGTGGAGGGTATAAACCTGCTTTTTTACTTCTTATGTCTAAAATTAATATTTCGATCAGTTACAAACGGAATATACCCTCCATCCTATGTATGGTGGAGGGTATTAAATGGCGTAACACGAACTGCTTGGTGACAAAGAAGCAGCTATCATTTTCCGCTAACATACCTAATTTCGCTTACTTCAATAACAATAAAAAAGAAAACAAAACACACGATCAAATTCAAATCTTATTTTATTTAGTTGCATTTATTTTTTTACAAAATAAATTAAAAAAAATTAAAATAAATAAATTAATAACTAAAACGTACAAATACAACATAAATACAATATATGTTATTTGTTTACATTTAAAAAAAAAAATAAAAAAATACATTTAAAATAATGATAATAGCTAAAAATTCCATAGAATAAAAAACATTAAATGTTGTGACCCAAATGGATTTGCACTAGAAATCGATGGATGGATGGATGAGAAGGAATGTCAAATATCGTGTTGGACACAGGATGCCAGACAGACAGGCAGGCAGACAAATGGTACTATTTGTTGCGGGAAGACGACGTATTGACTTCCATCCAGGTGGGCCAGATACTGGTTGTTGTTCCGTGGTTTTGTGAAGAACTGCAGTTGTAACCAGGGGCGGAAGGAGGAGAATGTATTAGTTTTTGGTTGTTGTTGTTGTTAATATTTTTAAGTCAACAATGCAAATAACAATTTTCTAAAAAGTTGGAGTTGGACAAGCAAAAAGAACTCGAATTCACAAAACTAAAGAACTAAACGTGCAAATTTCTACAAGGCGAGGCGTGGTGCGGGTCTACACAAGGTGACAGAAGTGATTTTTTTTGTTTTGAATGGTTGTGAAATAAAACTTAACTTTAAGACAAGAGGACAAATGTGTAAATTAATAAGGTCGCAAGGTCAATACAAGCAATTTTCATGGGGTTAAATAAATAAAAATTTCCAATAATTCTAAATATTTGAACAAAAATTCCAAAACAGGCAAAGCAATGATTTTTCCGTAAAGCACACCCATATTGACCTTTAACCTTTAAATACAAGTAAGCATTTCTCATAAAATAATACTGCTTTTCCAGGGAATTACAAATATCGAATGAAGGGGCGGGAACATGAAAGGAACAAAGTAACGGTTATGATGTACTAACGTTTTTTCGTTTTTGTTTTGAAAAGTTCATATCCGTTTCCTACACGTATTTAGAGATTTCCATTCCAAATGTGATGGCATGTTTGTTTGTTTGAGTTTCTTTTTTCAGATGTGGGTGAATGCTCTCAAATGTATGTAAATGTGTGATGTGTGAATGTTTGTAAAAATTTCATTTCTCTCTTTAAGTTTTTTTGTTGTTGTTGTCGTTCTCTACGCATATTTAAACGTCAATTCACTGATTTTCTTTACATCGCCCCACACCTGTATTGCCTTGATTTCGGACAGTTCAAAATATGGCTCATATGTCGTTATACGATTCGGTTTATTGTCAAAGATCTTATAAACATCGATAACATCATCTTGGAATGCAAACTCTAATTCAAATATCGAACCTAAAACAGAATAATTGAGAATTGTGTTATTATTATTGTTGTTGTTGTTATTGTTTTCGTAACGTAGTTGGCTGTCATTATCATTGTCGCCATCATCATCAACATCAACATTATCATCGCTATACAACACACCATCTAAAGAATCATAATCCTGCTCCTGATGATCCACCCAACTGCCATTGTCCTTGTAATTCTCCACGATAACACGCTCGTCCAGCAGCCATTTGAAGTGGTAGGTAATGAAGTCGGGATTTTTGCATATCTCATTGACGAAATTTATGGAGAATCTGTAATGGGGGGAGAGAGAGAGAGAGAGAGAGAGAGAGAAAAATAGGGAATGAGTTTTGGATTTTAATCAAATATAAAATATTAAAAATACTTTAAAATAATAAACAAATACCAAACATTTTTAAATAATTTTCAGAGCTAAATCTTTTTATGAATATTTTCGGAGTTGAGAGATTGGATTTTTTAAGAATACTTTTCGGAGTTATGGGCGTGGATTTTTGAAAATATTTTTTAGAGTTCTATGTGGTGATTTTTTTGGGAATATTTTTTCGGAGTCATTGGAGTGCATTTTTAAAAACATTTTTCGGAGTTAAATGCACAGATTTGTTAGGGATATTTTTCGGAGTTTGTTTATGAATTTGTAAGAATATTTTTTGGAGCTATAGACATTTTTGGGGAACATTTTTATACTCTTCACCATAAATAGTATGGAGGGTATATTAAGTTCGCCATTCCGTTTGTAACTCATCGAAATATTTTTTTTAGATCCAAAAAAGTATATATATTCTTGATCAGACGATTTAGCCCTGCCCGTCCGTCTGTCCGCCTGTTGTAAATACGTTAGAGTCAAAACGAATATATTTAGGAAGCTAAAAATTTGCACAGAACAGTCTTTTGTCTGCAGGAAGGTGAAGTTCGAAGACGGTCCATAATTGGTCCATGGTATTGTATAGCCCCCATATAACGGTACCCCTCGATAGTCGGTATTTTGATGATTATAGCCAAATTTTTTAATGAAATTGCCTAAAAATCCGCAAAAGGAGTTCCTTCTGAGACTCTACACTCACTCAAAAAAAAAAAAAAAAAAAAAAAACTGGAAAAAAGTCAAACGCCATAATTTTTAATTTTTTTAAGAATTTTATAGAATGAAAGCAATAAAAATGTCGGAAACAGCATCAAATTTTAAAAAAAAGTTTAGATTTGTTCGAATTGGCCACATTTGGCACGAATTATGGCCTTCAAACGGCCGATGAAACCATCACACGCTGCCCGAATGGTACTCTGCGGTATTTTGGTCCATTCCCAGCGAAGTGCTTGCTCTAGGTGATCGATGCTTTGGTATTTTTTAGTGCCAACCTTCCTTTCCAAAATACACCAGACACAATAGTCCAACGGATTGGTATCCGGAGATTTTGGTGGCCATTGTGTGCTGGAAATGAAGCGAGGAACCTTATTTCGTAACCATTCTTGGGTGGCTCGTGCTGAGTGCGACGGTGCTGAGTCCTGTTGGAATATCCAAGGTCTGCGGCCAAAATGTTTGCGTGCCCAAGGCTTTAATACACCCTCCAGAACATTTTCGCGATTACAATATTCGGCATTCAGCTAAGCGAAGCAACTGCTCTTTTGAGTCTATTTTCTTTTTGTAGCGGTGTAAGTTTGGAATTTCAATGTCTTTACCACGAGTTCATTTTTCAATATTTGACGAATGGAATGTTGCGACATGTTTAACTCACGAGCCATTTCGGCCACTGCGATGCTTGTTTCGATCAAGTCGCTTCTCTACTTTTCGAACCATCTCGTCTGTTGTAATTACTATAGAGTCAAAACGAACAATGTTAGGAAGGTAAAATTTTGTACAGAACAGTATTTTGTATTACTGAACTTACTGCTTTTTTTACTTGTTCGGAGTTATAATCGACGATTTTTAAGAACATATATTCGCAGTTATGAGTCTAATTTTTTAGGAATATTTTTAGAGTTATGAGTGTGTATTCATTCCTTTGCCAAGACTTCTCAAAGTTATTATCAAGAAATTTTTTTAAATTATTTTGTCAGAGTTATGGACGATTTTTTTTTTTGGAGATGTAGTCGTGGATATATATTTTTTTGGAGTTTTGGGAGCGGCGTATTTAAAAATATTTTATAAGAAGTTATGAGCGTGAATTTTTTGGGAGGTGTGAGGGTAGATTTTTAGATTTTTTTTTTGAGTTTTGAACATGGATTGAACAAACAACATTTTGATAATATAGAATAAAATACATGGGATTTATTTTTTGTAAGTACTTGTTTATTTGAGAAAGAACGAACAACCTTTACGCTCGGATGTAGTTTCGATTCTGATTTTATTTCACAATTTCTATTTCTTAATAGCTACTTGCACTAATCTGACATAGCCTACTTAAATCCTAATAATGCATCTTATCAATGCACACAGAGTGTTGAGCAAAAGTAGCAGCAGGATTGATATCCTCTGATTGGGAGATCGGTTAATTTTGAAGTATTGTCATGAGATTCCTACTAGTGCGTTGCACCATTTTTTTACTAAATAAAACCGATCTGCTCTCCAACTAGCTTTTCCCTGAAAACATACTGAAGCACATGCAATATCGTATAATTATTTCCATAAAGATATCATTTATATGACCCATTATAAAAACACCTAGAAATTACACAAATCTCTTGTAAATATGACAAGACTATAACACTGTATAATAACAATTTATTATTCTAATTACACCTATGGCACTAAATCTATATAATGCAATAGTACAAACGCCAAGAGAAAATAAAAAAAAACTTCTTTTATAACCCCTTGAGGCTGGTGAAAAAAAACATGCACTTCCGCTCTAAAAAAAGAAACCTCACCCACTATTAATAGTTTCGATGTTAATAAAAAAACCACTTCAACCTACTCCGCCCCAATGGGAGTAGAAATAGATTATTTACATGCAAATTTTGTCAATGGCTGGAAAGCGAAACAATATAAGACCTACTTTTCATTTTATTAAATTTCCATCTTGTATTTTAAGAACTAGATTTAACAAGTAAAAAATCCAACATTTGTGCAACAAATTTAGATATTTTCAAAAAAAAAAAAAAAAAAATGAAATAAAATAAAAAAAATTCTGTTAAAATTTTAAAAATACCGAAGAAAGCCGTTATATTGGAGTCTATACGAAGACATGGACCTGCATAGGCAACTTTGTCATAAGCCATTACAATATTCAAATACGAAATTTGAAAAAAATCCGGTGAATAATGTAGCAAAAACTATCAAAATACTCAATAGAGGGAGGTACCGTTATACGAAGACCTGAACCTGCATAGAGAATTTTGTTTTGTTATTGGGGGAAACCGTTATATAGAGGATATATAATATCGTGGACCTATATAGACAATTCTTTTCCAAGGGGTAATGTACTCAGAAGGAACGCCTTTTGTGGATTTTAAGGCAATTCCATTGAAATATTTGGCTGAAATCATAAAAATACTTTATATGGGGGGTACCATTATATGGGGGCAATGCGATATCGTAGATCTATATAGTCAATTCTCTTCTAGGGGAGAAAGTAATTGCAAGGAACTCCTTTTGTGGATTTTAAGACAATTCCATTAAAAAATGTGGGGATATACGATATTGTGGACCTATATAGACAATTCTCTTCCATGGGATAAAGTTCTCACCAGGATCTCCTTGCTTGGATTTTCAGAGAATTCCATTGAAATCATAAAAATACCGAATATAGGAAGGTGCTGTTATATGGGGGATATACAATATCTTGAACCTATATAGACAATTCTCTTTCAGAGGGTAAAGTACTTGCAAAAAACTCCTTGTATAGAATTTCAGGCATTTCCATTGAAAACTGCGGCTAAAATCATCAAAATACCGAATATCATGAGGTACCGTTTTGTGACATTATTCACCGGAATTGTTTCAAATTACGTATATAAAGCTCGGAACAGTTACTACAGGCTATGACACAAATTGCATACGCAGGACCACGTCTTCGTATAACCCACATTTAAGGGTTTTTATTTCAGGGGTATTTTTCGACGGAATTTTTTTTGGAATTTTTTAAGTCTCTTCCAAATGGTGGAGTGTATAAAAAGCTCGGCCCGTCCGAACTTAGTTGCTTTTTATTGTTCCATTAACTTTATTTGGCACTGCGCTATGTGTGCATGGTCTTCCAGTGTATGTGTGTGGGGTTGCCATAATGTACCACATACTTATGGATACTATCAACAATATATCAAGGTATAGCGATCTATGAAACAATTTTCTCTTCTCACGGGTGCAAATATTATTCTCCATATTGGTTGTTATCCTTGTTTGCTTTTCAATTGCAATGAAGCTCATATTTGCATGCCCTCTCCTCACAAGAACGTAACGTAACGTCACAACAATTAAACTCTTGCACTTTTGTTGCATGTTTCTACAGTTTCTGGTTTTCCGGCGAAATTTGTGTTGAAAATTCTTTAGATTTACGATTAATTGGAAAATGGTAGAAGGCTTGTAATTCCGCTAAATAGTTTTAATATGTTAATGAAAATGTGCCATGACCTGTGTCCGGCTAAATATAACACGAGACGGACATAATTTGTTATAATTACAATTAAGGGGGGGAAGGGGTGTTTGCGGATAAGTGAAAATATTTTTTTTATAAAAAGGAGAATAGCGGGGCTACCTGGTGTAAAAGAAAGAGATTTTTGTTAAACACGGATCTTTTTAATACAGTCTACATTAAATAAGATAAGAAGATGTCCTACCCACCTGGTAAAGGAACACGACAGAAGTCAAGGATGAACTATTCGAAAAAGTATGTCCATCTACGACGCTAGAATGAAAAGACTCTGAAAGAAACTCAAGTTTTCAGGAGGAAGAAACTGTCCAATGGAAGTAGAGCAACTTGCAAAAGGCAAATTATAGTGGCAGCTTAGAAATTGAAGCCGGTAAACAAAGGAGGTGGGATTTTCAAAAGAGTCCGTATGGAAAAATGGAGGAGCTTTCTTGGTGATATCACTTTGTTATTTATTAATAATAATATTTTATGATACTTCATATTTTTTTGAATTTTTATATTTTGTAGTATTTTATATGTAAAGGGTGAGGCCAAAAAAACTGCAACAAAGTCAAACACCATAATTTTTATATATTTTTTCTAAAATTTTATTGAATGAAAGCAAAAAATGTCGGAAATAGCATCTAATGTTAGAAAAAGTTTAGATTTGTTCGAATTGATCACCTTTGGCACGAATTATGGCCTTCAAACTGCCA